AACAATGTAATAATAATCGCGGGTAAAGGGACTGGTGACTAGTAGTGACTTCTCAGGGCAGATGAGTGGCACATGTCCAGACTCAGCAGTTCTCATTGTGCTCTCTCTATATTCGTTCCAGTTGCTTGTTTTATTGCTATTTTCCAAAAGCTTTGTGAAAATCTCTCATAACAGTTTTCCACTGAGCGACATCCTGCTCTAACATCCTGCTCCAGATAGCTACCAAGAGAAAACACACAGGGATTCTTTATCTGTTTTTAATTTACAAAACAATACAAAGATTTTACAATATAAATAAGTTAAAGTACATGTGACATTTTACAAAGGCAAATGAATTAAGAGCTGGAGCTAAAGTTCCACACATGAAGTACATTTTTAAAGCCGTCAACAACAACAGAGCCATAACTTCTACAACTTAAACCTTCTTTGTTCTGCAAAAGGCCCAGTTTACACAGAAACGTCAAGTAACTCACAAAAACAAGTGCACAGCGTCTACACGGCGACTGGAAACTATGTAGTTCTAGCGCCCAGCCAGTAGAGGGCAGTGGAGCTTTACAACACAACATGCAGAAACAGTATTGTTCCACTCTAGGGCCCGTTTTTCAAAGTGTGTGAACGAAAGGCCAATTTGATAGTCAAGTATACCGTCTCACTGTTTCTCTCTGTAAACAGCTCCTGCTCTGTTTTCAAACTTGTTGCACTTTGATGAATCCTCACAACATGTCGTCGTGGACAGGGCTGTTTTTGGCTTTTTCAAACTAAAGTATTGCCAGAAAATGTGTCCAATGACATTCTTTACTCCTCCTGTCTGCATTTAGAGGCTTTTTCTGATCCAGGGACAATGGGCCTCATTCACGAACGGTTCTTAGGAACAGATTTGTACGTAAATCCTACTTACGAGGTTTTTACGAAGAAAGTGGCATTCACGAATTTTTCTCGTAACCAGAATTTCTCTTGGGCAAGTACAAATCCTACGAGTCCTCAGGAGCACTCGTACGCATTCAGTGCCGACATGTTCACACGCCGGGGTTGTCCTCTTTGGTGAAGTTTAATAAAAATACAACATTCCAGTGATATGTCCGTCATATTGATGTATGTATTTAATCTATTATTTCATTTTTGTGGTTACATATTATTTTTCATATTCATTTTGAAATGAAATGTGCCAACGCTTTTCAAAATACATTGGAAATCTTGCCGTGTATTAGTGACCCCTTCCTATTTATAGGGGGCATTTCTTTATCCACGGGCCACAGAACAATGGCATATATACTGCTGCTGCAGGAGGTTACTGGGTCTGCGCTGGTCTCTCCTATGGATCTAGACGGGTCTGCACTGGTCTCTCCCATGGATCTATACGGGTCTGCACTGGTCTCTCCCATGGATCTAGACGGGTCTGCACTGGTCTCTCCCATGGATCTATACGGGCCTGCACTGGTCTCTCCTATGGATCTATACGGGTCTGCACTGGTCTCTCCCATGGATCTAGACGGGTCTGCACTGGTCTCTCCCATGGCTCTAGACGGGTCTGCACTGGTCTCTCCATACGGGTCCGTGCTGCATGCTCCTGGATCCATACGGGTCCGCGCTGGTCTCTCCAGTCTGGTCTATGCGGTCTCTCTTCGGTCCGCGCTGGTCTCTGCGCACCGGTCTCTCCAGTCAGGTCACTCCAGTCTATGCGGTCTCTCCTATAGGTCCGTGCTGGTTTCTGTGTGCTGGTCACTCCAGTCTCTCCTCGGGTCTGCATTGGTCTCAGCGCTGGGCCGCGCTAAATAATACATAATATATTTTTTAATTAAGCTCATAACATTTTGAGATTAATCTCATCATATTCTTAGATTAATCTAATAATTTTGCTAGTTCGACTTTATTCTCATAATATTTCGACTTTTAAGTCAACATTTTATAACTTTATTCTCAGTCTGGCAAAAGAAGAAAAAAGGGTGACTCTTTTGCTCCGTGTAACTCTTTGCTTTAGGCCTGTTGCTGTTTCCTCTGGCGTCTGCACACGGCCCTGCAGTCCCTTATATGGGCATTAGTGGGCGGTTACTTATGCTAAGTACCTATGCTAATGAAGCACCCGGCACGCGCGCTGTACTTACGAGGAAATGGCATTCATCAATCTGAGAGAACAGCTGCGAACAATTCAGCGGCTTACGAGCGCGTTGATGAATCCCACGTAGGCTCTTCTTAGAAATCTACTGAAGAACGACTTGAGAAGAAATTTAAGAAGTTTCTTACGAAGTTATTCGTGAATGAGGCCCAATGTCTTTATGTCTTGGATACCTAACGTTCAAATGGCCTTTGTCACATCTTTAGATCAGCTTTTGTGATAGAAGATGTGACAGATAGTGACAAATAGTCACATTGGGCTCTGTCGGATAAAGATGCCGGAGACTGCATGTTTTCTAATGGGAAGATGCCAGGATGGATGACAGCATCATGTCATCCTGTCATCCATGACTTCAGCTAATGTCTGATCTGTTGAACATCTTACTCTTTCTGGTGATATTCACATGTATTATAATTTAAACTAAAAGTTATGTTTCTCAGCTTTAGCCAATTTCCTATTTTACATTTGATACAAAGTGAGAGCGCAGAGGAGCGTCCCCTCACGATGCAGGGGGCGGGAGGCGTGTGTTTGATTTCAGACTTGCGCAAACATCCCGGGACATGGCTCCATGAGCAGGTTTTTATTGGAGCTGTACAAACAGCCATACTGCATCTTCTCCATATGTTTCCAATATGTCTCCGCTCCCTGCATCAACACGCCTTTCTGCTCTGTGCTCGTTGGAACAAACAGACTTGGCACAAAGTAGGTCACAGGCATTTGCTGCACACTTGAATAGTGGACTGAAAATGTCCATAGATGAGCTTCATGCACATGTTTTGGGACAAACTTCAAAGGAAACCTTCCACCACAGAGAGTCCATACTCCTGATCTGAACTCACACCTGAGGCCATTTCAAAACAAAGGTGCAACTTGATTTGGACAAAGAGCACAATGGGAAACATTCATGAAACCTATCGACAAACTACTTTGTACTTTGTTCTCAGGAGGTAAAAAGGACAATCAGGAACAATACAGAGCACTTACAAAAGGATGTGCCTCAGTCCTGGAAGCACCTTTTCCTAAATAATGACTTGGGTTCATTCTGCTGAGGATGCAGTTCATGTAGTTCATAGTAAAGGCCACATATCCAAGACTGTCTTTCTTTGATGTTTGGACCATGATACGAAATGTTTGACAAGGTTTTAACTTCACCCAGGCTAAGGTCAGTTTTCCAGGCTTATTTCAGTAACTCAGGCTAAGGTCAGTAACCCAGGCTAAGGTGAATAACCCAGGTTAAAGAAGCTATACCCGATTTTTTTTCTAAGTAGTTCATAAAAATGCTTTTTACTACATACAAGTTGTATCATAATACATAATTTAATTGAAAACTTGAGGTCATTGATTCAGCTGTGTATGAAATTTATGCCATGAAAAGTGCTGAGTGGAGTCTGAGCGGGCCGCTCGTTCTCCTCCACTCACAGAACAAGAAGTAACAGCCTGCGTCCTCTAGCCTCTACAGCGCTGCTTAACACCAGGGCTTCGACTTCAAAATTTGAATATAATTCTAAAATAAAAATTATATGTATTCGAACAAATATTAGACAGCCCTTATAATTTGAAATGTATTTAATGACTGCAAATAAAATAGTTAGCTCCCAAAGGTTTCCCTGGGACGTGCTAGGCTGGTAACAGCTAAGCTAGCTAGCTGTTTCATGGTAACTTCCGGGTTTTTCGCGATCGCTTTTTGTCACTTTAAAACAGTATTTTTGTCATGAAAACGTTAACAGCAAATTCTGAAATCGTCCGTGCATGTGTGTTAAGGATGTATATGTACACTGTATTGTCCGATTAACGTTTAATGGTGTTGATTGATTGATATTTATTTGTTTATTGAGCGTGGCTAGTTTCTCTCGTTGTACTTGCGGAGTAATGGCAGTATTTTACACACCTGAATTACAAACAGAGATTGCATTGTCAAAGGGCAGCGGTCATTATTGGTTTGAGAGTTCTGTTATCAAGAAAAAATTATCGGTAGAAATACATTCAAGTCAATGGAGTGTTCTGCTGCTGTGAGGAGCTGTATAATGAATTATAATTAATTACTCGAATATATTCTAATGTTTTAATGAATAAATTCGGATGGGAAACTAGAAGTATTCTTTTACCTATATATTGTGTTAGCAGTGCGTTGCTTTAGTACCATTTCATCTGTGATTGTTGTACAGCTTACAAGAAGTTGTGCTAATGCTAATGTTAGCATACATGTCAGATCGCAAATTGAGCTAGATGGCTCTGTGTTATGAGAGCGTAGGGGAAATGAGAAGCCATTGAGCGAGTTGGGGGGCGGTGCTAAACATTCAAACCTTGCAGAAACGGGTATAGCGCCTTTAAGGCCACTAAGCCAGGCTAAGGTCAGTAAACCAGGCTTAGTTCAGTAACCCAGGTTAAGGTGAGTATATCCTGGATCTATTGTAAATGTAGCTGAATGTATTTTTTCCTAGGTTTCAGAGTTGGCACATTCTAGTCATCTCTTATTTCATTGTTCATGTTAATATGTATATTTTCTGTTATTTTACATGAAACGTCAAACAAAGTATTCTCAAATATCATGTTTAAAGCTGGGGCACCTTACTTTCAAGCCACCAACAATGGAACTACAGTTCCCAGGTCTGACTCCAAGTTCTTCCCCAGGGTCTCCTCCCCTCCTCAAGTTTTCACATGAATGTATTTTAGTCACACAAACGAGCGAACCGTCTTCTCGCAGCCATCCGCCCAAGAGTTAAAGAGTGACTCCAAAGCTCTGTAAAATTAAGACAGCATGTTGTGGTCTGATTTGTTACTTTTACTAAACTGTTATATCTACAAAAAGTATCAACTAAAAAGTTGGATACCCCAGCTTTAATGGCCAAGAAAAAAAAGGAGCTGATGCATCCTTTAAAATCCTGTCTCATATGACGTGGAGATACGTGGCCTTTGTGTCTGCTCCAATCACGTTTTTGGCCGTGCAGCGGTAGAAGCCCGTGTCCCGACTGCTGGGGTTCTGGATCACAAGGGATCCTTGTGCGGTGAGGTACCGGTGACCGTAGAGCCGTGCCTGTCCCTGCACCGTCACTTTGCTGGTGTCGGGCATCTCCCACGCTATGCTGGCTCTGGGGGTAGCGATGGCGAGGCAGGGCAGTTCCACCGCCGTCCCGGGGCGTGTGTACGTGAGCGGGGCTGGGCCGGACGTGATCCTGGGCGGGTAGGCGATGACGATGACAGGGACCACCACCTCCAGCAGGCCAGATGGGGACCGCACCCTGCAGGTGTACGTGCCCCTGTCGAACACGGAGGCCTGTAGTACCGTGAGCGTTCCGTCCACTTGCACTGAGTACTGGCCTCGGCTTTCGGAGCTGCTCAGCCTCTGCCCGCTGGGAAGGCTCCAGGACACAGGCCCTTGGGAGCCCGCCTGCTTGGGACAGGGCAGGCGTAACGTTTCCCCGTTTATAATACTGACAAGCGCAGCTGTTTTTGAGCTGACCACTTGTTCAGTAGACGTGCCACGGGAGGCAGGTTTCAGAACTTTCCCTTGCTCCCGATTTGCCTCGACTTGACTCAGCTCCACATCCTTCACATCCAGCTCCACCCGCAGTCTGCTCTCGCCCCTCGCCGCGCACATGTAGCGTCCACGATCCTCCGCGCTCACACTTCTTATCTCCAAAGTCCCGTTGTGATGTACAGCCATGCGGTCGCTGCGATAGGGTGTGTTCAGCAAAGCAGTGTTCCCGGGTACAAGCCAGGTCAGGTGGGAAGGTGAGCTACCCAGGGTTGGACAGTGGAGGAAAACTCTCTGGCCTTTGATCGCTTGCTGCTTTATCGTTAGAATAATGCCTTGGCTTAAACTAGAATTACTCGCTACAATGTTTCTACTCCTATCAAAACGTCCGATATTAGCCGGAGCGCTGCTAATGTTTATATTTCTTCGGTTAGCATCATCCTTTGGCTTACTGGCAACCGCTTCTGAACTGGAATTTCTTGCTACAATGTTTCTAATTCCACTAATATAACTTCTGTTAGCATCATTGCTAAGCTTACCGGCGCCAACCTCGTTATTGTTGGTCACCGCCTTCAAAACCACACTTTGCCCTCCAGTATTATGTCTATTCATTGCAAAGTTCTCAGCACGGAATCCGACATTGCTGCCTCCGCTCACACCTATCCGTACCACCCCCAGTGGCGTGTTGAGACCCGGGCCGCGATACCCCGGGACTGAATTTCGCACAACGCTTGGCAGTTCCACTTCCACCCGAACCACTTTGCTGATGATCCCGGCATCGTTGGCGGCGCGGCAGGTGTAATTGCCGGTGTCTTGTCTTTGGGCGATGCGCAGCTCCAGCGTTCCACCCGGCGCCACCACCACTCGCTCGGTGTAAAGCCCGGATCGCGACGTCCACGGGATGATGCGGTTGGCGGGGGACAGCCAGGTGATGGAAGGGGTGGGGTCTCCGGAGGCCGCGCAGGGCAGTTTGGCGGTGGTCCCCAGCTGGACTCGGAGGGTGCGGTAGGCTGTGTCATCGGTGAATGTGGGTGGAGTGGACAAGAGTGTGACTTTGATCTGGAGAACAGAGAGAGGCATGTTAGTTCTGCGGTTCAGAATTGCCCCGACACCCAGCTCCCTCTAAGTTTGTGCGACATTATAACGGCCTCTTCCTCCAAAAGGGAATCCATTCTGTAGTTCCAGATAATGGTCAAACTCAAACCCAGTTGGCTGTACGTGCTTTTCATGAAAATGTGCAATAAGTCACAATCTGTTTTTTGATGAGAAAATATATAACTTTTTTTCATGGTTTTTCATGGATAAAATGAAACAGGTGAAGATTGGTCATATCGGATTAATGTGATCAGAATGAAGTAAAGTCGTCCAAATCACATTTGACAGGGTTTTAATGCGATTCATTTCATGGGATGACTTCATAACATTCTAAAGTCTGTGTCCAAACATCCACCCAGAACTCTAACCCCTCAGTCCCTAAATGGGCTATACACATTGACGACCATGGCACCATCTGCATGTGTGTGAATGGTTGGTGGTGGTGGGAGGGGCCAATGGCACATACTGATTGCCTTGCTTATGTTAGTGTGCCCCAGGGCAGCTGTGGCTACAGTAATAGTTTAAGCAGCATCGTGTTTGGAGTGAATGAATAATGCTCTGAAGCGTCTTTGAGCTTGCAAATATATTCACTTCCTGCTACTCGTTTGTAACCTTGTTTGAGGATGAATATGAAAGTTTTAGTCACGTAGAACAGATTGGATTTCATCGTCTGACTGAAAGTTCTAAAGCTTTTATGTACTTTTGATGTTGTTTCTGTTATTTTAGTTTTTGTACTGAATTAATCTGTAGCACTTTGAGGTTACCTTCATGGCGTCCCGGCCGGCCTGGTTCTCGGCGGTGCAGGTGTACTCCCCCTCGTCCCTCCGGCCCACAGCCTTCAGCAGCAGCGTGCCGTTGGGGAACACCCTCAGGCGTCTGAGGTGCTCTGGCCCCTCTCCCGCCCTGAGGTGCTCTGGCCCTTGCCCCGCCCTGCTGCCGTCAGGGAGGCTCCAGCGCACCCAGGGGGCCGGCTCCCCCAAGGCCTCACAGTCCACCTGCCAGAGAGACAGCACCGTGAAGACAGCATCACCACAGCACAACAAGAGACGGACTGACACACACACAGACACACACACAACACCATAACAAGAGAATGTCTCACACACAACAGCGTAACAAGAGATGGTCACACACACACACACACACACACACACACACACAAAATACCACAACATGAGACACACAAGAGACTGTCTCATTCTCTCCCACACACACACACACCGAGCCTGCCGATATGATACTTATCTTGATACAGGAGACTTTCAATTGGATACAGTTTGACACAATTTTTCTCAATGATTCAGTAAAAAACCTTTGTATTTAAAAATTGAAATACAAAAATAGATTACTAAATAAAATAAAAAATAATTCTATTTGTTTTGAAAAATATATATCTTTCTTAAACACATTTTTTTGCACATCCCTATTTTACAAGATTCACACTTGCATCAAAAGGCCTCATGTTTTTCTCTCTCAAATTAAACACTGTAACAACTGCAGTTTTGTTATAGGTTTGAGTATTAAGTCTGGGCTCGTTTGATTTTTGATTGTCCAATTTATTATATTTACTTTTAATGTGCAACAACAACAAAAATATATATCATTGCAAAACTTACATTTAAGCATCGTAAAGGATTTTTTCAGAATGTTGTGACACGATCAGAAACGGAACAGAGTCGGAATTTACAAATAATGTGAACGACTGAATTCCAGAAAGACTGAGCTTTTCAACAACAGCATGACTGGATTGGTGAAACTGAAGTTGGCTGGATGACACTCTGAGTTTGTGTGTATGATCCCAAAGACGACTTTGTGTAAGCAGCAGAGGGCCAGAAAACACTCTGGCCCTCAAGACCGCATTTGGCCCGTGGGCCTCAGTTTGGACATGCGTGTTGTAATCTACCACTTACCTTGAGCTGATGGATCAAAGACGGTTGCAACACGATTTGATGATGATGATGAAAGCACTTTGGTGAATACAATCTTTGAATAAACACATGTCCATAGATAGGGTATGTCTGTTGGACTGTTTAAAACATTAATTGATTCTTGTTGTTACTATTTTTGTTTTCCTCATCATGCATGCATTTATCACCGTACAATGTCTTCATATAACTGCAATTCATCCCTAGTCTTATCTACCTATAGGTTAAAACTTACTTTTATTTATCCAGTATTATCCTGATTATCTGTTTTTTAAATTGTTATTCTAGATATTAATAGTGATGTACACACACACACACACAAACACATACACATACACATACACACACGTTTTCTGTTGTATCCCTTAAAATCATGTTTCCCTCCACATCTTTTGGCTCTTTGTTGTATGTATGTTCTTTTGCAAAAATAAAATAAAGTTACAAAGTAAAACAAAAAAAAATGTATCCAATCACTACTAAAACGGAGTGGAGTCCAAATTATGATAACATTAAAAGTAATATTAATTTCAAACTTGCATGGCACTTAATTGAGCACAATTCTCACTATTTTTGGTCCATTCTATGCCATTCGATTTCTCTCCAAAATACACAGAACTCGTCAATAAAAGTGTGCATAAAAACCCCAGAAACCTCTGCATTAAAATTCAAGCACAGGTCCCTAAGGCTGGGGGGAAATTACCTTCCGCTCTGATAAAAAGTGTCTGAAATGGAAGAGTGGAGCCAGTTAAGGGCCTCACCTGGAGCGGATTACCCAAGGACACGCGGTGATGGACAGGCTGCCTCTGCTGGATGGTGGCCGCTCGGATGACAAGTGGTGGGGAAGATTGGCGATTTGGTTGGAGGAAAGCTGAAAGGGCTGGTTGGGGATTCGGTTGGCGATGTGTTTGAAGGATCACGTCTTTGAAAGGTAGGTTATTCGGTTGGCGATTGGGTTGAACAAGAGGTCGTTGGCCGTGTTGGCGATTCCGTTGGCTGTTGAAATGAATTTCTGGTGTTAGCGCAGTTTGCTGATCCAGTTGCCGAACCGGTGCAAGGGCAGGCTGAATGGATCGTTCCGTAGACGTTTGCTGATCAAGTTGGCGAACCGGTGCAAGGGCAGGCTGAAAGGATCGTTCCTGGTGATCCAGCTGATGATTGGTTTGAATTGCTGGTTGAAAAAGTTGAGGATCTCTTTGGGGAACTGTTTGAAGGGTTATTTCCTTTGATGGTGCATGGTCTGGGTGGCGAATGGGCGGAGTGATAGGTTGTTGGGCAGGTTGGCTATACAGTCGATTAAAGGATTCGCTTTCTGGTCGTGGAACAGTTTGGTGATTGAGAGCAGGTCGAAGGGCTGGTGGTTGTTTGGGTTGGAGTTCTGTTTGTTGGATGGTTTGGCGATCTGGTTGCAGGACCGGTTTCAGCAGAGGGTTGGGGGCCACCGTCACCCGCACCAGTCTGTAGTCGTCGGCCACCTTGTTGCGGGCGATGCATAGGTAGTCTCCCCCGTCCTTTTCAGTGACATCCTCCATGGACAGGGTGCCGTTAGGGTGCACCTTCAGACGCCGGTCAAAACTGGAGGGAGAGAAGAAATTATTTAGTGTTATAATTTTGTGTACCGTAGAATATATAGTATGACTGAAGGAGGCAAAGATATTGATTTAGTCGCAGATCTAACAACGCCATTCTAAAAAAAACTTTTCAAGAAATTATGTATATTCCTGTATCATCATGTTTCTGTGACGTTGTTTTTGGCGCAACAAATTGACACCAAACAAATCATCTTTTGTGCTCTGTGCTCATACTGTTGGTGGAGTGAATAAAAGTTAGTACTCTAGTTAGTAGCTCTGTTGTACGATATGTTAAGATGACGCCCGGTTTACTGCGTATTGGTTTAAATACAGGATGTGTGGAGCCAGGGCATCAGGATTATGGTTTGAAGAGGGGGGATTCAGTCGGATAGGGCATCACTGCAGGCACAGGTCTAAAATGCAGCAGGGGTATTGTTGTGGCCCCCTAGTAGGGTGCTTCTTATTTGGGGTTAAAAAAAAAATAATGTTTTTCAGTGGGCCACCCACTGAAATGGTTCATTTTGGTGAGAAAATAAATGTGTAAAAATTTCAAGGGGAAAAATACATTTTTACTGGGTGCTACCAGTCATTGAAATTTAAGGCATATTTTACTATGCGCTCGTAGTCATTAACATAGGAAAAAAAATCACAAAACTGATGGAGACTGGTGATAATGACTCATTAACTTGGTACACATTTATTTACTTGTTACATGCATTAAAAACATCCATTTTCTGTCATTGCATTTCTACTTATTTATTAAAAGACAGAATTAACATGCTTTTTTACTTTGATTGTAGGTTTATTTAAGACAATAGTTACTGTACTAAGATTAATCGCTCAGGAGAGTTGTCTTTTTTCTGTCAGGATATTTCTGTCTATATTTGTGAACTACCAACAACAGGAACTGCTTTTGCTCTTCGTTGTTTGTATGTAGTCTATTATATTCGTCCATTAGTGCTACGCCACGTTCTGCAATGTCGTTGACAACCTTCATGCTTCGAACAGTGGACTTTATAGTCTTGAACTCATCATCATGTTCCCATTCGCTCACACTGTTTTGAAGAAAGTGTGATGGAAGTCCTGTGATGCTGAAAAATTTTCGTGTATTAAACGTGACAAAGTCCTCCAGCTTCTTTTCTTGGATAACTGAGCAGTCCATAGTAGCCCGTTTCATAGCCATCCAGCGAGCACGGTGTAGACCGGCAGGAGCTCTAAATGAAATGCCCCTCAAAGGTACTCCTCCCAAAAAAAAAAATAGACAACTCCAAAAGTTCTCGGTAGTCGTCACGAGGTTGAAAGATTTGTAGTTGATCTTTGCAAAAGACGATTCTTTCATCAGTGATATCGGTAAGAGCATTTGAAGCGTTCTTATCAGACTGTGCTGTGTGGTACTTTGTAGAATCAATTGAGACCCAACTTTTCTGAAATCTTTTAAAGAGTGGTATGTCAGGTCCACTTGAAGGGCCGAGACACAGCAAAACTACTGCTTCCAAAATAATTTCCAGAATGTGATGACGACATGCCAACCACAACATATCTTTCCCAAACTTCTGCTCTAGAAGAATGCAAGCCCCATTTCTTGGCCCAGTATTGGCTGCAGTAGTATCAAAGCACATGCACATGATACTGTAGGGTCGGTAGCGACCCCTAAAAATAATAGGGTATTAATTTTTTGTGATAATGAACCAAATGGCAGGGTGGCCCATGCAAAAATCGAATCTTCAAAAATAAGAAACACCCTACCCCCTAGTGGACATCAAAGTGTAATGTCAGTGGGGCCCCAGTAAGAGTTTGGGCCAAACTCCAAAACACCAAAACATCTACTCCTTGCCAGTGACCAGACTCTGCATCAGGTGGCCGAAGAAGAGATACAGGTATGTAGGTTGAGGACATAGACTGTAAATATTAACGGACGTAGTGACGCCTATTTCCTCCGTAGAAATGTATGTGTGCTCAACATGTACCTTATCAAAATGGCTGCGAAAAAACACTTTTACGCATGTGTTAGCTGCACAAACTGCTTTCGGGGGGGAGGCTGTATCATTTGGCATGATGCATGTTTCTTGGTATGATCTGTAGCCACCATAGCATCACTGGTTATGAAGCCTATTCTGAAGAAAGTCTTGAGATTGACAGTGTTTACCTGTAGTGCGCATCCACCAGTTTGCGGCTGGGCGTCCTCCAGATGACACTGGGCGGTGGGTTTCCAGTGACGCGACAGTGAAGCTCCATGCGCTCTCCTGACTGCTTTGTGCTGGTCGCCACAATCAGGGCTTTGCTAAACTGAGATACAGGTGGACGCTTTGAAGGAACCGCTAAACCCGTAGTTTTGTCTTCCCAGATCTTGGCACCGACCACATCCACTTCGGTCTGGGGCCTCTCAATGGGAGGCGGCGCAGCTAAGTCTGAAGAATTTAATGCATTTTCCAGCTCAAGGTTTGTCTGCATGTTGTCTTTACTCGAGGAAACCTCCTGTTCGATCCTGTTTTCTTCTGCTTGACTTTGGCGCAGCTCGACTCTGACCACCCGCTTTTGGACACCTACAGCATTGGTCGCGCTGCATTCGTAGCTCCCTGCGTCCTTTGGTCCAACGCTTCGGATATGCAGCGTGCCGTCTGGAAGCACGAACAAGTTTCCGTGGAGAAATTGCGACGGTCTGACATAGATTCCACTGGGAGTTTTCCAGCGCATAGAGGGACTCGGTGCACCGCGAGCCGAGCAGTGCGCGAACAGTGGCGCGCCCACAGATAACACCAAGGACTCTTCTTTGGGCTGTTGGATGGAAGGGGGTAAAGACGACACGTGGACGTTCACCGAAGCGCTGGCTGCTCCTGCCGAGTTAGATGCAACACAGCGGTACGTACCACGGTCACTGGGTGATACGGGGGAAAGGCGCAGGGTACCGTTGGTGTCCAAGGAGATGCGAGGAGTCGAGGCGGGGGAGGAGAGCACGGAGCGGTCAGGGAGCACCCATGACAGCAGAGGGGCGGGCTCTCCCTCGGCGCGGCAGTCCAAGGCCAGGTCCCCGCCCTGCTGAGCGGTTAGCTCGCGGAGGCTGGGGAGCTGCATGCGAGGAGGCCGCGTGCGCACGTCCAGAGTGGTCACCATTCTGAGAATGACAGCAGAGACATTTCAGAAAACATACATCCACCCAGTGTTGCCAACTCCTCAGTAAGGAAAGTAGCTATTGGCTGTCCCAAAAGTCGCTAGAAGTCGCTAAATGACGTCATCGCCTAATTTTCATAATTGGCAATTTGCAAATAACTGTAACGGACGCTGTAGGAGAGAGGAATAACGTCGTGGGAGAGACAAAAGTGAGTAAAAAACACCCTAAATATGTTTAGAACTACAAATGTACAAAAATTATTTCAACATTAACAACATTTAATGATTTTAATGCTTTGTCTAGATCTGTCGCTAGTCGCTTTTTTGAAAAAAAGTCGCTATAGGGTCTGAAAAGTCGCTAAATCTAGCGACAAAGTCGCTAAGTTGGCAACACTGCATCCACCTCACCTTAGCTTTCACTTTATGAAACAGCCATTGTTAATAAAACACACTTTATCAAACCAAGATCTACTTTTACACAAATCGAGCCATGATCGGCCTCGGATCTTTGTGAAATGTTACGATTCAGAATGTGAGTCATGATCAGTTTGTGACCCTGCTGTCTTTATTCACAGCAAAGAAATAAATGCTTAAATGATAAGTTTAGATGTTTTGTACATGGTACACATACTTCTCCCACCACATGTACAGTATGGACTTGTGTAATGTTTCTTATTTTGTAAATATCACTCATGACTGCATAGTGTCATTATTTATCAGAAACGCTCAGACCTGGTTGACGACGCTCTACTTTGATCGAGGACATTTATTATGGAGAATTTAGAGTGACTCTTAATGAAAAGTCTGGACACCCCTGCTACAAAATAACTCCATGAGGCATTGTAGATGATGGTAGAAGAGAGAATTATTTCAGTTACATCTTTAAATGAAAAATTAATAATGCCAGCTCAGTCTTCGACCATTAAGCAGGGGAGGCCTGGTTAGGGCTGTGATGGGAGACTTCTGGGTGCCACAGTGGGGTGGCTGTGGCTGTAAAGTACCAAACTGTTGCGGTGTCCAGAGGCAAGACACCTCACCCACGTTGTCCCGAATGGTGATGGGAGGGGCCAATGGCAATAATGACAAATGAAGCGTCTAAAACTGATGCATTATTATTATTAGTAGTAGTGGTATTATTATAAAAGCCTGTGAAGAGGCGCTGACCTGTCCAGTCCCATGGAGTTGTAGGCGCTGCAGATGTAGTTCCCTTTGTCCTGGAGCTGCACCTGGTGGATGACCAGGGTCCCATTGGGCAGGACCTTAAACCGTGGGATCCTGGAAGTCCCAAATATCAGGGCTCCTGAGTCAGATGACACAATAACAGACAAATGGATGAGAGATTTATATGAAGAAAATGTGCACTGCAAAAGTGATACAAAAATAATTAAACAAGATTTACCAATGGGACAAAGCAAAATGATCATCTCCCCGGGAATGAAAACAAAGCAACAGTAGAGCACTAGATTCAAGCATTTATAACTTCAAATTTTATAATTTTTTACTGTGTGGGGTTTTTATAACTTTGTCCCCATTTAAAAAAAACCTGGAGTTGTTTTTAGCTCCCTCCAAACTGTTAGGAGGGACTTGAACAGATCTGACAAAAGACTGAAGAAAGTCTCTAATAACTAATATGACTAATATACTCTAATTATAAGTGGGAAGAACGTATGCATAGACAGATAAAACCCCAAACACCTGTTGGTAGATAAATTTAAACTCTGAAGACTGAAGAACGACCAACTGTTTGAACTCGGGGTCGATACCTGACACCAAGACTGACAACCCGTCGTCAAGGAGGTCCCCAACGATACAGAGCCAATATTCATTTGCAGTAAAAGTGAAAACATTGAATACCACAAACTCTTGACTTTAAATGTCTTAAACAAATCAGAAACAAAATAAACAGTTAAGTGTATGTAGTCTTGAACATATGGGTTTTGAGCAGTGATTAGTAAGTAAGTAATGTTTATTTATATAGCGCATTTTACAGACAACTTTTGAACGTCTGAAGTGAGTCTGAGTTCCTGATGGTTGTGGGAGTGAGTTCCAGAGAGTGAGGGCGGCTGCGGCGAAGGCTCGGTCTCCCAGGGTTTGGAGTTTAGGCCTGAGGTGAGTGAGGAGGAGGGTGGAGTCTGTGGATCTGAGGCGGCGGGAGGAGGGACAGCGATGATGGAGGAGGTCAGTGAGGTGTGAAGGAGCAGGTTATGGAAGGACTTGTAGGTGAGGAGGAGGAGGCCCGTGTATGATAATTGTGTAAACACGAGTATCTAAAGCAACCATATTATCTATGACTGCACATGTGAGGTCACAGCAGGACAGATCTCCCTGGTAACAGATGATATAAAGAGGTTGTGTTGTACAGGAGACGAATACAGGTTCACCAGACTAATAAACATCAATGGGCCGACCCCCGTTTGGGCACGTCCCCTCTCACAGCTGATCGTGAATTGGCTGAAATAAATTACAAAGATAGAACATGATAGTGGATCCTAATTTGAAAGAAAAAAAACTGCATCTGTGACTTTCTAGTGTCTCGTCTCTGACTCTGTTCATGGTTGTTCTGAAGAAACAGAATCCCATAATAATAATAATGAAGCATGAAGAGCAGAAGTGAACTGCAGACGTCTAGATACAGGCGACTTTCAATTATTATCTTTAGTTTGTAAAAAAGGAAAATTAAAAATCAATATTGCATAATAAACAAAACAATCAATAAAAAATATATCTATAGAGAAATATAGTATTTAGCACATCCGTAGGCAGAGGAATATGTACTCAGCTTCCACCAGTGGTACGCAGACCACAGTTTGAGCTACTATAAAAAATTTTAATACAGTTTTGAAGATACATAACTTTATTAAACTTGTAAATGTTTATTATTTTTCAAAGATGAAGTCAGACTGCTCCATTAGACTTGGCCCAAATGTCGCACGCACATGCAGGCTTTGGAGAAGGCTTTCACTGTGTTAATGGGGGATTTCATCAGACTGAAGCCGCTCCCGGGACTCGGAAACTGGGCCTGGACCTAAAGGCACATGTGGAGAGGTGGGACACGGGGGCTTAGGTGTGGCCTTCTGCGGAGAAGCTAAAGCCCAAGTGTGGATGACGCCAGAGAACTTCAAACTAACAAACTTACAGAAACACATGGAGTTAGCAAGGGCTGCTTTGGACATTCACGTTGTAGTCTATTCCAGGTGCAGGTGCCACCAAGACTCTGTGGGATTGATGTCATTTTTGATTAAAAAAAAAAACAAGAAGAAGTCTGGGGGAGCCCACATGGAAAGAAGTCCAGTCCTAGCGGGCTTTAAGGATGCTAATGGAGAAGGCCTTGTGCCTTGTGTTGTCCTTTTGTTGTCCATTGGTTTCTCTTCCTGTGGAGGGTGTGTCTTATCTCCTCCAACACTGCCTCACAGACGGAGGAGCTTCAGACAGGTTTTGGACACGAGGCTGAGTCGAGCTGTGCTCCTTCTCTACAGAACTTGTCTCCTTGGAATGCGACAAAGAATAAAGAAAGCAGAAACTATGTGTTTGTGTTTGTGATTTTGTCAGGATTGACTGTAATTTACAGCAACAACAGGAAGAATGTAATTTCACTGAGATAATTGTCAAAACTAATACTTTTGTTAAGGCAGGAAACACTCAAACCCTTTTAAAAATGTATCATATCTGTTTAATATAGTTTGGGTAGAGAAGAAAACCATCCCAGGTCTGCTTTTGACGAGGAACATTGTTGTAACATCTGAGTTTTGAACCATGTGCAGAGCCCTTGAAACCAGGACTCTGGTGTTTGAAGAATGATATCTGATTATTTATGATAATAAAAGCTTTAGCAGCCGCCATCGTCACCTGAGTCCCCTTTGCTCCAGAAGACACTGGGCCTGGGCTCCCCCTGCGCCTCACAGTGCAGCCAGGCCGTGCTCTCTGCTGGGGCAGACAGCGCCCCCCCGTGGCTCGGAGAGATGCGGGGTCTGGAGCGAGCGGCGGTCACCTGGAAACACAGGCAGTGTTTAGAGTTTTCTGGATTATATACATTCTATATGTTAGAGCTGTCAAACAATTGAAATATTGATTATTGAAATATATTGAAAATATTGAATCACATTAATGTCATAGTTAACTCGCAATGAATCACACTTTTTTCCCTAAATGTCCCTTGATTTGGTTTGAAAGGGCTTTGGATAATATTTAATAATTAAATGTATCCTGTTTGCTGATGATACGAGCCTGCACTGCTCTGGGCCAGATCTCAAGAAACTCAAAGCAACAGTTGAAAGAAAACTTGTCAATAAATTAGAATAAAAGTAAATACATCATCTTTGGAAACAGAAATATGCCAAATCAAAAGATCAGATGTGGAAATAGAAACGGTGTATTCTACTTTGTTCTTGGGAGGCAACATAGATCATGAATTAAATTGGAATCTATACATACTGTAAATATACTTAAAACAAATCAAAAAGTATTGGTATGTTGTACAAAACCAACACTCTGTAAATCCTGATGCACAAAATATGTTATTATTATCTTATTCTTTCATTCTGCCAAATCTCAATCCTTGTATTGAAATATGGGGTAATAATCCTAAAACAAACACCAACTCATTTTCACCCCTCAAAAGAAAGCCATCAGAATCGTTCACTATGCTGATTATTAGGCACAAACTAATTCCTTGTTTAGTAAAATCTAAAACACTAAAGTTTTAAGATCTTGTTGAACTAAGACTGCAATCAGTGCTGCCTCAGTGTGGGGCAGCACAGCATGAGGCCGTCTCATCAGGACGGCCTGATGAGACTGAGCTCTGTCTCTAGTCACCACATTTTCTTTTCAAAATAAATGCTCTAGAAAAATACATTGCACAAAAAGAAACTTGAGACTTTCTAATATTGAAAATGTCTAATATTAGTCAAATAATACAATAATACATACATGTGTGGGTGTATGTATGTAGTTATGTATGTATATTGTCATGGTGTGGATTTTGATTTTATTTTGAAATAAGTTCTGTGGTTTTGTTTCAGTTTGACTTCCAGTCCTGTCTTGATTGTCTGCCCCGCCCTGATGTGTTTCACCTGTGTCTGTGTCTATATGTACCCTTTGCTTCTCTCCCCTTGTTGCTGCTTCATTGTTTTGTCATGTTCTGTCCTGGTTATTTTGGATTTCTGGAGTTTGTTTTTTGCCTTGGACTTTGTTTTATTAAAAGCTTTATTTTGGCACTCCTGCGTTTGAGTCCTCACTCAGCTCACCCCGTGACATATATAGTTAAATGTATATATGATGCCAGAGGTGTCCTAAATGCAGAGGTCAGAGGGGAGGTCCCACCAACATCAACCCCCAGACAGGGTTTTATGAAAGTATTTTTGATGGGTGTTTTGATCGGCAATAGGGAATAGGCCCAGATAAGATGTTCCAGCTTCTGCTAAATCCCTTTTGGGCTATTTCTCTGTCATATTATTAATCTTATGTCTTTATGGAACACTCTTCCTTCTGACCTCTGACACAGACTCTTCAAATCCACCTCAGACTCATCAGTTCAGACACTTACTCATGTAGCTTTTATTTTGTATTGCAACTGTTTTTTTAATTCACTTGTATGTAAGGCGACCTGGACAATCTCGAAAGGCGCCAGAGAAATAAAATGATTCCATTGACGCAAATTGTGTCTCATCCTCAACCCGGTCCCAAACTCCATATTTTTGCTCATGATGAAACCCAGTAACACAGAGCCATGAGCAGCTCTGTCTTTCTCAGTGCTTGGGTCTAATTAGACTCCAGTGCGCTGCTTGCACTGCGCTCTCTTAATGATTCATTTGTAGCACGCCCACCGCGCACTGGCAGCGCCGCGCACGCCTTTAATTAGGGATTGATCATTGGCCCCAGGAGGCGGCCCCAGTGGAGGCAGCTCCAGCGGACATATGCTCTTCATCTGGTCCCAGTCTGAACCAGGACCACAGGGCTGTCAGAGTGGTTATCATGGAGGCCGTCTCTAGAGAAGAATAGACATTTTTTGTGCAGAGATCTCTTCCAGTCACTGTCAGCTCACTTTGATTTGATGTGTGAAACTTAATCAGACACGCACATGGGGGTATGAGGCAGGGAGTGAGGAATAATTGCCTGGGTGGTAGTAGACCGAGAGGTAGGCCAAGGTCTGGATGGAACGATGGCGTGAAGAGAGGTTTGACTGTGGAGGAAGGGATTTGGGCCAGAGGAGTGAATGCATGAACGTGGACTGCCTACATGAAGTCAAAGGTATAGATGGCTTTACCTACACCTGGTCCTGGGTTCGAATCCCGGTCGGACCAGGGTCTTTCTGAGTGGAGTTTGCATGTTCTCCCCGTGTCTGTGTAGGTTTCCTCCGGGTGCTCCGGTTTCCCCTACCACTAAAAACATGTTCAAAAGGTCTGGCATGTGCCTCCTGTACTGGCCCCGCTCCAATCTCTGTGTGGAGTGAGAGACAAATGCCCTAAAAATTGTAAACCGCTTTGTGACTTTGGCTTGTGAAAGGCGGTATATAAATAAAGATTACTTACTAGATATAAAGATAAAAGAAGAACCTTTATAATCTTTTCATTTCACTCTGCCCTCAAGCTCAAACTTCTGTGGAATCTTTAAAGTCTCATCGAAGAACCATTTTTATGCTCTAGCTTTTAATTATGCATGAGTTGGATGGTCCTTTTTTGTTCGTTTTATTGTTATATTCAAATTTTAGATTTTATCCTATTTGATTTTTAATGATTATACTGTTTTACTATGGATGTTTTAAGTACTGTGTGTTTATGAAATGTGCTATACAGATAAATTGTATTGTAAATGTGACCCTGCACTATCAGCGGGCCATGATACTCCAAACCAATACAGTTTACGATTTCTACATTTGTTCACTTCAGTTTGGTGCAATACAGGGGCCTCCAGTCTCTCTCCGCCCCCACAGAGGAGCTCACGCCTGGGGCCTAAGGAAAGGGTCGCACTCAGCAAAAAAATATTAAGTGTGAGCCTTAATTATTGAAGCCATGAATAATAGAACGGCTGGAGATACTTTGGAGCGACATAAGATTATTCATGTTTTCTGTAACTCCAATGGGCCAGAAAAACCTCTATTGACAGAACACACACAGACACACACACACACACAGATACAGACACACACACACACACACACACACACACACAGATACAGACACAGACACACACACACACACCCACACACACACACACACACACAGATACAGACACACACACACACACAGACACAGACAAACACACACACAGACACAGACAAACACACACACAGACACAGACACACACACACAGACACAGACACACACACACAGACACAGACCCACACACAGACACACAGACACACAGACACACACACACACACACACACACACACACACACACGGACACAGACACACACACACACACAGACACAGACACACACAGACACAAACACAGACACACACACACACACACACACACATGTGTTCAATAACATGAAGGTTATTTCAGTCACACTTTTTCAAACCTACACACTCATAATATATTCATAAGACGGTTGAAACGCTTGAATAATGCGGTGTTTTTCATGAATTGCTGTTTTTGCTCATTCATTTTCTGGAATATTGTGGAAGAAAGCATGAGTACTTAAGGATCACTAAAGTATCCATCCATCTTTCTCAGATATAACGTGTCTTTTGTTGTTCCTGGTCATGATAATCCTACACAATGATAAAAACTTGTGGTATTTGACCGAGGAGAGGACTTTGTGGAAGTCTGTGCTGAGTGCTTATGTACAGTAGATCTCTTGCATCGTGTGTTTTGTATTAAAAGTAAAAGATCAAAGAGGCTCATATTGAATTCGTCTAATCACTGCTTCTGGAACAAATAGAGATGACGTTGGAATCATTCACATAAAGTATGTTTCACCAAGTGTTTGATGCCAAATCCTTTTCGTAACATATGGCACCATCACTGTTTTCCTAATTTATGCCAGTAATAATACAACATTTAAAGTTTGAAGTTCTTTTAAAGCTGGGGTACCTAACTTTCACACAAATGTGGTAGGCCTGTAATCAGTTCGCTTCTGTCCTTGTCATTTTTAGTTCCTGTTTTATTTTGTAACTGTCTGTTCTTCTGTGTCTTTTTGAGTTTTCCGTCTTGTTCTGTTGTTTGCCCTGATGTGTTTCGAGTGTTTCAGTTAAATTCCCTGTGCTCGTTCCCTCTTCCATTAAGTGTTTTTTCCTTGGTACAAGTCCTTAGTTCCTGTGTTAGTTCCTGTGTTGTTTCATTCAGTTGAGTTTTGTTTTTGAATTTTTGTTTATTAAATTATATCATTTTTGCAGTGTTGTATTTTGGGTCCTTCCTCCTTTCCACCACGTAAGATATCCCTAGTTTCCACATGCATGTTTTTATTTTTATTTTTTTAATAATCACATGTTTTGATTGGCTTTTTCACACCAAAAAGTGAAAGAGAGAGGATCAGCCGTACTCAGCCAATCAGTGTGAGTCACTGTATGAAGACAGAATGTTGAGGGAAAAAAAAAACATATTACAAGACTCTATATAATGCAAAAAATAAAAAATGACATTTCATAAATCCAAACGTTGAATTAATCTAAATATTAAAAGGAAAAATACAGTGCAAATGTTTGTGTGCCTGTCTTTTTTGCTTGCTCTTCTCACTTTTCTTACTACTAAGTGTAAACAAATTGGCTTGAAGTAACTAAACTTAAAGTCCAGCTCCCAATATGTTTTTTTACTGGAAAAATCCCATTTCTACTGTCTGAAAAAGGAAGACGAAAATGTACTCACCCGGGGAGGTAGGTGCGTCCTGCTGCTCTGTGAGTCCGGAATAGAATTGCCTAATCCAGGATTCCTCCAGTCGGTGTAGGCTGGGATCTGTCCAGGGGTCCCAGGAATGACTCTCTGCCTGGGGCCCGCAATGGGAACCCTGGGCCTTGTCATTCTGCTCATTGTGGAATTTGAATTAGTTCTTGAAAACGTTTTTGCTGCAGTAGTAGTTGTTGTAGAAGTCGTAGAAACATCAGCCTTATCAGTCTTCACCAATATTTTGTTAGTAAAAGTAGGAGTGGTGGTTGTAACGTGTCTAGAGGCTGTTGTAGTAGCAGGAGCAGAATGAGTGTCGGTACTTGGTGTAGACAAAGTAGTCGTAAAAAATGCAGTAGTCTTTGAATCCGCTGCATTGGTTGGTATAGTAGTTTTATCTGAAGTAGACATAGAAGTAGTCGGACTAAAAGTTGTGGTACTCCTAGTCGTAATTGTAGCTGGGTAACGTGGTGTTGTAATAGTAGCACCTGGACCTGAATCAAAAGTTGGAGAAGTAATTGGACTAGAAAGTACAGTGCTGGTAGCAGTAGATGGAGTTGTGGTAGCAGGAGGAGTTGTAGCAGCGATCGACTCAAGTGTACTCTCTGCAACTGACATTAATTCATTAGTATAAAATAGATTCATGTCAACAGCAGTGGGGATAGCATTCGTGACTCCTGCGGACGGTCTGAATTTCGTAATCCTTTCCCCTGGATTTGTTGTTACTTGACTAATTAATGAGACAGCCAAAAGTGCGTCTCCGCTATCAGTCACACTAGCGCTTGTATCGCTGCTGGCTAAACGCGATTGCTGCGTACCTCTGGGAGAGCTGGTGGTTATTTTTACAGTGGGTGAAAAGGTAGAAGAAACTGAGGCACTAGGCAGCCTGAACAAATTCCTTTCCATGTCTTTGCGTTCTTTGCCTGCGGGTCTATAAGCGGGTTTGCTTGAAGTTATCTGGAATGTTGAATGCGTTCCGAAGTGCAAACTGGGAAGTGAGGTAGAGTGAGTTTTGGTTGACGATGTTGAACTGGGAGGAGTTGAAACCCTTGGATAAGCTGTCGTCGTCAATTGCATTTCTGAGTTTACGGCATCTGGGAGAGGTTGCGAAGGGGTCGAAAGCCGCCCCCGCACACGGTTGAACATACGCCTGCGTTGTCCCATCCGCCTTCGAATGTTCCAAGGGCTAAAAGGTCGCTGGATTGATGTTTCTTGGGTTTCTGCCACTTTTGGAACATTTTCTGTAGTCGTTAATTGCCACCTAGATGTTGTCAGTGCATCTTTAGGTGTAGTAGTAAAAATATAGCCTGATGTTGTGGTAATTTTATGCCTGAATGAAGTTGGTGATAAATGTGGCTCCGTCTTTTTAGTTGTAGCATCATCAGCCTTAGTTGTCATTTCACTGGCTTTGGTATTTTCCACAATTGCTTTATTTGTTTGCAGCTTGGTGGTAAAAACAATCCCTGGGCCTTCTTCAAACATGTTGGTGTCATCCCCAGAACTTTCTACTTTCTCGTTAACTTTTCCTTTCTCTATTGGTTCAGCTGCCTGGTTGTCGCTCCCTGTAATGGCCTTTTTGCGGATTTTAGCCAAAAGGTCTGCCCACTTTTTTGGATCGATCTGTTGCCTGTTGGGAGTGACTCTGTTCCTGGTTCCGACCCGATTCATCCGTTCGTTCACTAGTTTAAGTCTCGCAGGGCCCCTTCTCCGCTGGTTGATTAAAATTGGCCGCCTATTTCTTACCTCATCTCTGATTTCCACATCTCCAGATCCTTCCTCTAAGCTCAACAACGGCGCTCGTATCTTCGTTGACCTCCCGGCTGCAGACTGCGGTCTTTGGGGAAAAGCGGTTTTAAGCGGCGGTGTTTGCTGTGGCTTTAGCTTGAGCTCAGTGAAAAGCGAGGCACTGCCGTATTGGTTTACCACAATGCATCTGTAATGACCAGCATCCCTCAGGGAAGGCCTGGGTAGGGAGAGACTTCCATCAGTTTCTATAGCAATCCCCCCCAAAATTGCAAAACCGCGCCGGAGTAGATTTCCATTTGGTAAAAGCCAGCTTGTAGAGGACAGAGGTGTTCCGGAGGCATTGCAGAAAATAGTTAGAGGTTGTCCAATTACACCAGTTAGTTTCAAAAGCTCCCTTGTGGCAGATACAGGCGTTTCTATTACCACCAGTTGCAATGGCAGAACGTCTATATCATTCCCATTAGAGGCCTTGCAATAGTATAGACCTGCATCAACCAGATCCACTTTTTGTAAAACCAAACCAGAAGATAAAACCTTCCATTTATTGTTTGAAGAATTCACTTTCGAGCCATTCTGGAAAATCCACTCAACTTTGTGCTGACCAGAACTGAGAATCGGACAAGTTAATTCTATCTTACTCCCAACCAAGGCTGTAACGCCTGTAATTGTTTGATTAGATGAAATGAGCACCCATGGGGGACTGGTCGATAAATCAGACTGTGCAGACACTCTGGTGGACAACACCAAATGAACTGCCTTTCTGCTCGACTTGGCGCGGCCTAGCTGAATGCTAATAGCTGATTGTAGTAGCCAGGGTAGAGAGGTTGCGATGGAAGCTTTGACCCCTGTGTGATAGCCATTCTCTGACTCCGGGGCTTGCTTGTAGCGGTACGCCACCATCGGGGTTTTACTCAGCATGAGCCCTCTCTCGAGTTGCGCGGGCGATTCGCTGTAGTACGCCATGATTCTCCAAAGCTTTTCGTAGTCCTGCTGCTCAGCGTGGCACTCCAAGGACCAAGACAAAGCGAGATGAAGAGGGAAAGATTGGAAGTTCGCGAGCTCTGATGGTATATTTGGATTGGTTTCTGTGTGAAAGATGTTACAGGCAACGTCCACGCTAAAGCCCTGCTGGTCGGACAGTGAGAGAGATAAAGTGCCCAGTGATTCGCGGAATGATTGCCGTGGAAGAATGTCGGGGAGGTCCAGAGGAGTAGGCTGTCCAGGGGAGTGGATCACAGGAGGAGGGCAGTCCAGGCTGAGCTGCTCAAGAAGGGCCTGGTCCTGGAGGGAGCGAGGCGAGGCACAAACTGGACACTGCGGACTTCCAGGGCAATTCATGACGCCTGCGGCAAGAAAGAGTTCATGATGAGTACAAAGAAGACGCACCATTGTGGTAATAAATACACAAACTCACTATGTATGCCTGCATAAACATTCTAAAGACAATATAAACAAATACACAAAAGCTTCGTAAAGGTGTTTTTATCAAACAACTGCTTACAACAAAAAGGATCTGTATTAAAATCCATGTCACTCGATCCTGGCTCAAAAACAGTTTGGTTCAATCAATAGTTTCACATGTATTTTTGGTCCCTCCCTTTGGTCACATGCAGAATTCAGAGCAGCTTTTTTCAGACAGAAGAGTGAAAAGGAATCAGCTCAAAGCGGGGTGAGTCTGCATAAGATCAAGTTAACAAGTGGTAGTCTGGTTTGTTTACCATTTTTAACTTTTTTCAAAACTATTTGAAGACCAAGAAGTTATAACATGTGTTGTAGGAGGCTGCATTTCAGATTAATGCAGCTAAAAACTGGAGCAGTCTTCCTGAAAATGTGAGACAGGCCTCCTCTCTGACAATGTTTAAATCCAGGTTAAAAACAGTTCTGTGCATACAACTGAAGGATTTTATATTTTTATCTTTCTTTTTAATGTTCTGTGATAATGATTTTAATGTCTTGTGTTTTTATCTGGTTTTGTTCAGCACTTTGAGTTGTCTTGTATGAATTGCGCTATACAAATAAAAAGCCTTGCCTTGCCTGATATCCAAACACATACAAAATACAAACTAATGTTAATAAAAGCAAACCACTTTTATACTTGTGGCCCCATGAATAAAATAATGGTTCCCGCACACTGCTGTCCTTGTAAAATAATAGTTTTATGGAAAAATGTAACATTTCGGTCCTGAGACCTTCATCAGGCAAAGTCTAACGTTGCATTTTCCAATAAAAATATTTTTTGCACGGACTGCAGTGTGCGGGAATCATTATTTTTATTCATGTGCACTCAGACTCTCTCCCCCGTCTCCTACGCACCTGCTCCAGCCATTGATGTTCCAAGTTCTTCATACTTAATCCTTCTGGCCCCAACCAGCTCTGATGTTTTTAAAGAAGCAATATGTAAAAATCTGTCCAAAATTGATTCTCCTGCTCTCCCTGACTCAGGTTGACAGCATAATATCTGGATAGAAAAGTTTTGTCAACAACAAATCTATAACCAACACCTTTTTCACAAAGTCCCCAATAGAAATCCTGGTTTTATTCCTTGTTTTGTCATTAATGATGAAGACCTTTTTTAGTCCTGTGCCCACATGGTACTATACCAGTGATATTAGCTTGACATGGATAGTTCTGGGAACCCGGATCACAGACTTTCTGACAGTAACAAGATTTATGGGCTGTAAAAGTAATTTTGAAGTTTGAATATCTCTGAACGAATTAATGCCTTTTGACAGATTAGGGCCCTTTCAGGATGACTTGACATGGAAATCCTGCCCTACAGCAAACACAACAACATGTAACCTTTCCTGAACAACCTCATTATATTTATCTTTATTAACCTTTATCTGTAAACTGCAAGTCACAATCCGTGCCACAAACAAAACATAGCGGGAGCCTGGAGCAGCACCTGTCTCTGTGGCTCCTGAGTGAGTCCTGGACTGGGGGGGAGGGGACACACAGGTGGGACTCAGAGGGGGTCCAATAATCCCGGCATTAAATTCCATACCTAATTAAAATATGGTCGTTATCACAGTTCTTCAATTCTCCCACTCATGTAATCAACTATAGTTTGAGCAGAAACATGATACAGCACTTTGGATTCCCTGTGTAGGAATTAGGATAAGATATTCTTTATTTGTCCCGCAGTGGGGAAATGTTAATGTTGCAGGACAGTTGTATGCTCAGCTGTCCCATGTACAGTGTGTTAGTCCCTTATTTACCTGCGAGTTGATTTAAAGTGTGGCTTTCTGAGGTTTCTCACTTTTGTCCCACTGGGTTTTAGAGTTTTTCCTTGTCGCTGCAGGAGGCTCCCTAACCCTATTGCCCCCCCCATGGACCAAAACGTGTTCTATTCTTTGTGTTTCAACTGTTTGATTCTCTGGTCTGTGTTGATGCATTCAACATTTTTTGGGATAACTACTGTTGTGAAACAAGAATGAATTGAATTGAATTAGAATCAGTTCATATTAATTCCAGTCCATGATTCCAAAGGTCCATGAGCAAGTGCGCTGACATGCTGCAATCTCACTCCTCACGGTGGGGGTGTACCCAGAAAGAGAATTACCCAATACTTTTGTATGGCGTCTTCTTGCCTCTCGAAAACGTCTTTACAGGATGGTCCAAAAGACGCTCTTGGTCCAACGCTATGTTCCAGATGCTGTCAATGCTGAGGGGAGTATTTCTTTATGGACCAGTCTAGTTTAGCCGCTGTGGACTTTATAATGCACTTGTTAAATGAATGGGACTAGTGCTGGCTAACGCATGCGCAAATGCGTTTTTTTCACATTTTCCTTCCCCGCAACCATTTTGAAAAAGCCCACAAAAGGCAAAAGTGATGGAACATTAGTGTGGAGAAAGGGGTGACTACATCTGTTCATATTTACAGTCTATGGTTAATGGTCTTTGTAATGTAATAGATATTTTCAGATCCAAAGACCCTTACTATCATGAGGCCATCATGAGGTTGGAAATCAAAACAGTAGTTGTGGCCAAAGTAACAGTTTAGAAAAGAAAGAACATTTTGGAATGGACTCCAACTGCATTTCTAATCCGAGTCTTTCTCTTTGCAACTGCTGTTATGGACTGGCTCTGTTGCTCTCCGTGACTTCATCTGCAGAGCGCCTTCACAAACACATTAGCTCGTCTTCATCAGTCTGCAGGGATTAGGGCCTGGCGCTGGTGTCGGCCGCCCCTCCAAAGCCGTCATTAGCCTTTTCTATGGCATGTTAATTAGGTTACTGCATCTCGTCATAAATCGGCGATGTGTATAAGTTCATTATTAGCCTATATTTCAGCCTGATCACACACTGGCGCTGTCACGGTGGATTAGTCACGGCCGGGTAAGCCTGGCTGGCACATCTCAGAGCGCGCTTCATGCTCAGACGCCAACAGGAGAGCGTCAGATCTGTGCAGAGGTCGTCTCCATCCATGCGTGTTCTCTGCAATGTGTGCGATGTGGGGCCGTTACGGAGTCATGGGTAAAACACTCACTGCCCACGCTTCTGTTCGCACTAATGCAACCACACACAAGACCAAGGGTTAGAGGCGTTCTCGGTGCTCTGTCACCGAGAACGGTCTAAAGTGTCATTAGAATGCTGTTTTTAAGTTTAAAGTAGCAATATGTAAGATTTTCATTTCAAGTCATCATTAAAGGGCCCTAATCTGTCAAAAAGCATTAATAAAACATGCTCTTTTCAAATACTTCTTTAACTGATAACAGTAGTTCAGAGATATTTGCATTCAGAATTTGTTTTACAGCCTCTAAATCTGGTTATTGTTCTCGTTTTGATGTCCCGCCCTCCACCGTTTTACCAAACAAAAAGTTTGTGATCCGGGTTGCCAGAATTCACAGCATCGAGCTAATGTCACTGGTAAAGTACCATGTGGCGCAGAACTAAAAAAGGCCTCTTATGATTCTCAAATCATTAAGGACAAAACAAGGAATAAAACCAGGATTTCTATCTTTGTGAAAAAGGTGTTGGTTTTAGATTTGTTGTTGACAAAACTCTTTTTTCAGATATTATGGTCCCAGCTGGATTCCTCTGCATATCTGGCAACCTGAGTCAGGGAGAGTGCAGTACCACTTTTGGTCAGATTTTTACATACTGTTCCTTTAATTAATCATATGTGGCTAAAATACAATTTTGGGTGTTTGCCAAGAGTAAGCAAAGGCACTGTTTGAAGTTTGGAATCTTTGGTATTTTTGCTATTTACTAGGGATGTCAAAATGAACATTTCATTAACGCGTTAATTAAAAAAAAAACCTTTGCAACCTGTGTGTAACCTATCCACGCAAATACACCGCTAAAGTGTCAGTTTCTTCCCCTGAAACTAAACTAAACTCGCTGAATTAAAGCTCGGGTACGTAAATTTCCCCCTTTCATTAACAGCTCATTTTGGTTGTGCCCGAAAGCAAAAGGTTGTGAGCTAATAAAAAAAAACAACCGCTTTGTGACTCTGGTCTGTGAAAGGCGGTATATAAATAAAGATTACTTACTTACTTAATCAAACAGATTTAAGTACATTTGGTCTGAATGACAATGTGTCATTACATTTGATTATCTCATTTAACTTCATTTGGAGTGGATTTGAAATAGAATGTTAAAAATGCGATGAATCATGAGTTAACTCATCATTTCTGTGCGATTAATCAAAAAAAAAAATGTAATTGTTTGACAGCCCTAATATTTACATGTTAATTAGGGAAGGTCTTGTTTCATCGTTCCTTTGTATTCTGTTGGTTCCCATTTTGTGTTGAAGGTGTGTCTTCTTTGTGTCTTCCTCGGACAGACGACCAAGTGTAAAGAATGTCTGAACTATGTCTGTTTGTGTGTGATTTTGTCCAGGTTCAACTGTAGTTTAAAGTCAGTACAGTTATCTTCCCTATGACACATGTAGCTGTAGTATGCACTGATCACTGATGCAACCCACCTGCTGGGGTTGAGCTAGAAACAGTACAAACTCTAGTTGACTATTACGTATTGAGTATTTTAACTGATTTGGGTTTTAAGAAACTTGCGACGAAAATGAGAAAATGAGACCGCAAACAGTGTAGTGCTGTGTGTAGTGTTGTGTGCTGCGTGTTGTGTGTAGTGTTGTATAGTGTTGTGTAGTGTGTACCTGGGTGGGACACAGCCCAGGGCAGCAGCCAGCTCATGCTGCAGTCACAGCTCCAGGGGTTGGAGTGCAGTATCAGTGTCTCCAGTAGGGGCGCTGTCTCCAGGAGCTCTCTGGGGACTCGAGACAAACTGTTGTTGGACAGGTCCAAGTGTCTGCGCACACATACAAAGCAACAAACTGAAAAACTGGGAATAAGTCTGTGACAAAAGCAATGGAGACGGATTATGAGCCTAAGTGACCACAGCTCTACACAGTCCTGGGTCTACAGCCTCAGTCCTGGGTCTACGGCCTCAGTCCTGGGTCTACGACCTCAGTCCTGGGTCTACAGCCTCAGTCCTGGTTCAACACCCTCAGTCCTGGGTCTACAGCCTCAGTCCTGGGTCTACAGCCTCAGTCCTGGTTCAACACCCTCAGTCCTGGGTCTACAGCCTCGGTCCTGGGTCTACAGCCTCGGTCCTGGGTCTACAGCCTCGGTCCTGGGTCTACAGCCTCGGTCCTGGATCTACAGCCTCAGTCCTGGGATCTACAGCCTCTGTCCTGGATCTACAGCCTCTGTCCTGGATCTACAGCCTCAGTCCTGGATCTACAGCCTCTGTCCTGGATCTACAGCCTCAGTCCTGGATCTACAGCCTCAGTCCTGGATCTACAGCCTCAGTCCTGGGATCTACAGCCTCTGTCCTGGATCTACAGCCTCTGTCCTGGATCTACAGCCTCAGTCCTGGATCTACAGCCTCTGTCCTGGATCTACAGCCTCAGTCCTGGATCTACAGCCTCAGTCCTGGGTCTACAGCCTCGGTCCTGGGTCCACAGCCTCAGTCCTGGATCTACAGCTTCAGTCCTGGGGTCTACAGCCTCAGTCCTGGGTCTACAGCCTTGGTCCTGGATCTACAGCTTCAGCCCTGGGGTCTACAGCCTCAGTCCTGGGTCTACAGCCTCGGTCCTGGGTCTACAGCCTCAGTCCTGGGTCGACAGCCTCGGTCCTGGGTCTACAGCCTCAGTCCTGGGTCTACAGCCTCAGTCCGTCCGTGCAGTTCCTCTCTTACTGTGGCCCTTCCAGAGGTTTCTCTGTTTTCCTGCTGGATTGTTGAGTTGTTCCTTGCCGATGCAGGATGGCCAAAGGGAAATGTATAGACATTTATGGGTCAAATGTAATTTATTTCATTTTAGTTTCTAATCTGCAGCTCTGCGATGTGATTTGAAATACAATAATAAATGGATTTTGACTGCATTGTTCTCACATTAAAAACAGACCTGGATATTTTTTAAAGATGCATCCACAATATTTTCTTGAACTTCAATCACTAAACAAGACCAACTTGTCCCCTGACCTTCTGTCTCAATGTCTAAATTCACAAATCTTCAGACTATGACGTCAAGGACAGTAGTATTCAGGAACTGATCCGGTATCAGTATATACCGGATACAGGAAGTGACGTGACTTCCTGTATCCGGTGAGCGTGTTTCTTGACTGCTATCACTCTGCTCTCTGTTTGCACTAAAAAACACATTACAAATCCACGTATTGTACACCAAGCTAACTGTGTAAGCACTCCGAGTCAGCTGTACTGTAGCTGAGGTTTAGGTAGCGGTTGTTTGTCTGGTCTCGGAGTCTGTTGTGCGGGCCCGGATCCGTACTAGCTTAGCCTAGCCTAGCTTAGCCTAGCCTAGCCGCTAACTCGCTACTATGGCGGCTGCTGTCTCTCCCTCAATCCTTTACTGCTCGAGTTGCCATATGGCGAGTCTAAACCCTGGATCCTTCTCTGAGGGTAGTGATAGATGTGTGAAGTGTAGTGTAGTCGTAGCTCTGGAATCCAGGGTCAGTGAGTTAGAGCTGCGTCTCCGAGCACTGGAGTCTCGAGCTAGCGCTAGCATTAGCTACAGCCAGGCCGTATCCTCAGGGACAGCGGAGCGCAGCTTTAGGGAAAGGCAGAGGAGAACTAGCGAGCCTAGCCTCCCAGCCCGTCCTCCGCAGCTGGGACAAGACCAGGATAGTGATGGCTTTGTGACTGTTCGGAGAGGGCGACGTGTTGTTGGTAGTTTCCCCATTGGGCCTCCTCCTGTTAGCATTTACAATCGCTGGGACGCTCTGTCCGGCTGCGCCCCCGCGCGGCCGGGCGGGGAAGAAGGCCCCACTGAGAGAGCCGCTGAGAGAGCTGCTGAGAGAGCGGATGGAGTCGCTGATGCGCTGGTAATTGGCTCCTCTATTGTTAGAGGTGTTAAGATCCCAGGAGCCACTGTTCGGTGCTTCCCTGGGGCCAGGCTTGGTGATATTGAAGGGAATCTGAGGCTCATGATGACCCACAAGCAGCGTTTCCGTCGAATTGTTATTCACGCGGGTGGTAATGACGTTCGGCGGAAACAGTCCGAGGTGTTGAAGCTGCAAGTCGCCGCCGTGTGCAAGCTGGCTAGCACAATGGCCGACACTGTCATCTTCTCTGGGCCCCTACCTAGCACTAGCAGTGCAGAAGCATTCAGCAGACACTCGGCTTTCAACCGCTGGCTGTCTGGCTGGTGCCCTCGAAGTGGTGTTGTTCATGTTGACAATTGGAGTGCCTTTTGGGGAAAGCCCGGTCTCATCCGCTCGGATGATATCCACCCAACGTTGGCGGGTACATCCCTTTTGGCTAAGAATTTGGCCCTGGCTCTAAACTGTTCTGCTCGGCTCAAATGACGGTGCAGAACTGAGGCCCGGGTGCAGAGCTGCTCTGCCACAACCTCTGAGCCCCCATCTGTTCAGTTACTAGCCTCAGAGGCTAGTCAGATTGAAACTGTGTGTGCATGTGTGTGTGTGCCTGTGTGTGCTCAGTTACTAGCCTCAGAACCTAGTCAGATTGAAACTGTGTGTGTTCCCCGCTTGAAGTCTAAAGCACTATATGCGAGGAAATCTGACCTAGGTGTCAGACACAGTAACTTAATAAAAGTTCAGACAGACAGAAATAGTTCTAGCGGTAGGGTTGTTAAATGTGGTTTAATGAACGTCAGATCAATCTCGTCTAAATCGCTTCTCATAAACGAACTTATTATAGACAAGGGCTTGGATCTGTTTGCGCTCTCGGAGACTTGGCTCCAACAGGACGAGTACGTTAGATTGAATGAGTGCACTCCTCCGACGCATGTTAACTACCAGAAAGCCAGAGCTACAGGTCGCGGCGGTGGTGTTGCGATATATCACACACCAACTTGGTTCTTAGTCCCAAAACCAACAACGCTTTTCACTCGTTTGAAAACTTAACACTTTCAATCACCTGTCCTGGGTGGAGAAAACAAAAAGCAGTACTATTTATAGTTTTATACCGACCTCCTGGTCCTTACAGCGAGTTCCTAACAGAATTCTCTGACTTCATTTCAAACCTAGTTTTGGAATGGGAAAACATAGTTATAGCTGGAGACTTCAATATACATGTGGACGACAGCACTGACAGCTTAAACAAAGCTTTCAGCGCCGTACTAGATGGTGTTGGTTTTACTCAGAATGTCGAGGAACCTACTCACATTCATAACCACACCTTGGACCTTGTCCTGACCTACGGCTGTGATGTCTCCAATGTTGACATCCAGCGTCAAAGCTCGTTGCTGTCTGACCATTTCTTGATCACGTTTGATCTCGCTTTGGAGGACTTTCCTGTCCCGCAAGATAAAACCATAATGAAAAGAACCTTAAATGATAAATCTATCACAAGGTTCAAAGAACTAATACAGCCTATGTTGAATACTGCTGCAGGTGAACCTGTTCACAGCAGCTGCAGTCCCTCAGTCATTGACCAAACGGTGGGCAACACTATGGAGTCTTTAAAATCTGCATTTAAATGCAGCAGCTCCTTTAAAACAGAAAACCATTAGGATTAGATCATCGTCGCCCTGGTACAGTGTTCAACTCCACACTTTAAAACAGGACGTCAGAAAATTGGAGAGGCTATATCGCCACTCCCACTCGGAGCCTGTCCACAGGGAGTGGAAAGCAGGTCTCCGAAACTACAAGAAGGCCCTTCGCGGGGCTCGAACTCAATACTATTCAACTTTAATAGAAGCGAATAAAAACAACAGTAGATTTTTGTTTGGTACTGTCGCTAAACTCACAAACTGCCATAGCGCAATCGAGCCTAAAATTCCAAGCTCACTGAGCAGTGTCGACTTTCTCCACTTCTTTAATAATAAAATTACATCCATCCGTGACAAGCTGGAGGAGGTTGCTCCTGCTGTTAGTGGTGGACAGGTTGAAGCGGCATACGTGACTTCCCACTTAGACTCTTCAGTGGGCCTTAATAAATTCATGGCTGTGAGCCAAGCAGAGGTGATCTCTGTGGTCACATCCTCAAAAGCCTCAACTTGCATGTTAGACGCAGTCCCGACATGGCTCTTCAAAGACATACTTCCTTTGATAATTGAGCCTATCGTAAATATAATAAACGCATCCATACAATGTGGCTATGTCCCACAAGCTTTTAAAACCGCGGTAATCAAACCCCTTCTGAAGAAAACAAACCTGGACCCAGAAATACTTACAAACTACAGACCGATCTCAAACCTCACTTTTATATCTAAAATCCTGGAAAAACTTATAGCTGAGCAGCTCCGCTGCCACCTGCAGGAAAATGATATGTTTGAAGTCTTTCAATCAGGATTCAGAGCTCATCATAGCACTGAAACGGCACTAGTCAAAGTCACAAATGACTTACTACTAGCTGCCGATAATGGACAAGTGTCAGTGCTGGTCCTACTGGACCTTAGTGCTGCATTTGACACAATAGACCACAGCATTCTACTGCAGAGGCTAGAATGTGATATAGGTCTTAGAGGAACAGCCCTTGGCTGGTTTAAATCCTATTTATCAGATCGATATCACTTCGTCAATGTGAATCAGGACTCGTCGCCTTATTCTGGAGTGGAATTCGGTGTGCCGCAGGGTTCGGTACTCGGACCGATTCTTTTTACTCTCTACATGCTGCCACTGGGAAACATTATTAAAAAGCATGGAATTAATTTCCACTGCTATGCAGATGACACACAGCTTTATCTGTCGATGAAGCCTAATCAGACAGATCAGCTAGAAAAGCTCAGTGCCTGCATAAAGGACCTTAAAATGTGGATGACTCTTAACTTCCTACTTCTCAACCCGGAGAAGACAGAAGTGATCCTACTCGGTCCGAAGCGCCTGCGTGACTCCCTCACTAACCAGATGGTTACTCTCGATAATGTCAGTATAATACCCAGTAACACTGTGAGGAATCTTGGAGTCATTTTTGACCAAGAACTCTCCTTCAAGGCTTATATAAGCCAAGCAACTAAAACGGCGTACTTCCACTTACGGAACATCGCTAAAATTAGGAATTTCCTTCCTAAAAGTGACGCGGAAAAACTCATTCACGCGTTTGTCACCTCAAGGCTCGACTACTGTAACGCTTTACTGGCAGCGTGCCCTAAAGCCTCTTTGAAGAGCTTCCAGCTCGTTCAGAATACAGCAGCTAGGATCTTAACAGGTACCAAAAGGAGGGAGCACATAACTCCGGTGTTAAAATCACTCCACTGGCTCCCTGTGGAGTACAGAATAAAGTTTAAAATCCTACTCTTAACATATAAAGCCATAAATGGCTTGGCTCCTTCTTATCTCCAAGACACGTTAGTGTCGTATCAACCAGGTCGAGCGTTGCGCTCACAAAACGCCAGACGTCTGGTGGTCCCTAAGGTCTCAAAGGTCACTGTTGGTGGCAGAGCATTTAGCTACCAAGCTCCTTTACTGTGGAATCAGCTTCCCATTTATGTTAAGGAAGCAGATACGGTCTCCACATTCAAGGCCAGGCTTAAAGCACTTTACTTTAATTTAGCATATAATTAGGTAATATATAATATGTAGTGTATATATTATATATATATGCTGTATTATGTTATATATTATGTTATATATTATTCAATAATGTATTGTGTTATGTTGTATATTATGTTATATATTATGCTGTATGTTATTCTTTATTCAAGGCTAGGTTTAAAACAGTCCTCTTTAGTTTAGCATATGGCTAGGAAGGTAAGACTCGGAGAAGGTTAAACTCCTCAGAGTGTTAGTCAAGCTGCATAGGGAGTCAGTTTGCTGGGAGAAGTATGGTAACTTGAGCACTATCCTCTCGTCCTTCCTACTTTATCTGTTTAGCATTTTTAGGATTCTGACTGTAGTTTGTTCATTGCTATTCACCCGTTGTCCCATTGTCTGTTTCATGGTACGATGACGGGATCTCTGAGCCTGGCCTCTTCCATCTACACCTGCGGACTGCCCCGCCCGACCCGCCTGGGAGTGCTTCAGTCCTGCACCGGACCTGTCCACGTTCAGCGTCCACTGGTCCACGTTCTGTAGCTAGCTTAGGTCCTGGATCATTAGTCTGTCCGTCCGGAGGAGCGGATCCCTTTCTCATATGGGTCTCCCTCCCTGTGGGTTTCCCTAGTTCTCCTCCAAGGTTTCTCACTTTTTCCCACTGGGTTTTTTAAGAGTTTTTCCTTGTCGATGCAGGAGGGTCTTGTTGGACAGTTAGTGTCCAACAGAAAGGATTGGTGATGATCAGGACACTTTAGCATTCTACAACATGTATGGACATTTTCTTCTGTGTGTGCTTTATACTGTATTCTTCATGTGTTTTAACTGTTGATTCTCTGACCTGTGTTGGTGATTTCAATGGTTTTGTTAAGTCCTCTGAGATGACTTCTGTTGTGACCTAGGGCTATACAAGAATACATTGTATTGTATTGTATTGTATTGTATTCAGCCTTTTAAATCAAAAAAAGTATTTCTGGAGTCAGACTGCACGCCCTCAAAAACAATCTTTTACATAATCACAACACTTATATCCTCTCCATTGCAGAAAGGATTAAGATTCTGAAACAGGAGCTGACGAAGGGTCAGGGTTTTGGGTCATAATCAGCATCAGCACAATTTGCAAACATTTGTTCTTTGACATCTCTCAGTACGTTTGAAAAGATCTCTCTCCTGGTCCATATCAATTAGATTCAGAAGACTCACATAAACCTTGCTGTTCAGATTTAGATTCAGTTCATTTGCCATTTGTAGTAAAACCACATTGGAATACATTTGCAAGAAGTCCCCAGTGTGTAGCACATAAATAAAAACAAGGTTAAAAGTACAGCAGTAAAACCAATGAAAGTGCAGGAAACAATTGACACTGTGAAATCGATCGACTGAAACAGTTTCAATACATGTGCGATCATTTAAAGTGCTGTATTTAAACTGGTAACAACTTGTGGAAAGAAGCTGTAGCAAAGCGAGATGTCCTGCGTCTCAGCGAACGATAAAAAACCAACACTGGACAGACAACAAGAGCACAGGGTCTAAGCACACGGAGGGAGATACAGGTGCAACACATCAGGGAGGGGTAAACATTAAACAGACAGGAAGTATAACTCAGAACAACAAATGAATCAACAAAAAGTCCACAGTGTGAAAAAAGTGTGTGTTTCGTACCTGAGTGTGGAGTAGAAGTGTGTGTCCAGCAGGGAGAGTGTGCAGAGGGCCTCGGGGTGCAGCTGCAGGAGCCGGTTCCCCTGCAGACGGAGCAGTCTCAGGCGGGGCATCAGGAGCAGGGCTCGCGGGTGGATCCAGCGCAGCAGGTTATGATCCAGATACAGGCGCAGCAGAGAGGACAGGCCAGCGAAGGTCTGCTCCGACCACAGCTCCTCCACACGGTTGTAACTCAGCTTCAGGATCTGACCAGAACACTGTAAATGAGTACACTGGGGCTCCCCAAGGGTGTGTGTTAGGCCCACTGCTCTACTCTCTCTACACACACGACTGCTCCCCCCTTCTTTCCCACAAATCACAAAATGAGTGTGCTGTTTACACGGAGATGCAGAGACAGTAATATGATAAAGTTGTTTATAGGTTTGGCCTTTCGTTCACACAGAGATAGCCTGGTCGTACCACACCACAGTACAAATTACATATCGTACTAAGGTCTGGAGGTGTCCCATTGAGCTCCGTTTACAGGTGGGAGGGGTTAACTCCTTTTGCAGATTGAAACGATTGGATCTGAGTTTACCGTGACGTTAGCTAGCATTTAGCCTAGCCAACTCCTTTGCCGCTAACGGAGCCCGTGGGGAGTAGAGCCACAATTTTTTCAGCGATTACATTTGCTAAACATTCCTCTTGCTCCGGCTTCAATTTCCACGGATCCGATTTAGTTTTACGACCCGATTACGGGTCGTAAAACTAATTTTGATAATAAAATATCTCGGCTGAACTACTGTTATCAGTTAAAGATGAATTCGAAAAGAGTATGATTTAATAACGCCTTTTGAAATATTTGGGTCGTTTAATGAGGACTTGACATGCAAATATTACATATTGCTCCTTTAAACCAATTTCTCATTTCCCATTTCCTTGCTTGAATTTCACTTAGATTGCCCAAGAGTTGTGTCATCAATAGTCATCAAAAATGTTGGAGGATGTCAACACAAAATAAAGAGTAGTGGTCCATGAGCAGATCCTTGTGGGGCTCCATAAAAAAACCTCTTCATGATTTGAATGAATCCGTCTGATCTTATACTTCTGTAGCTGCACCTGCACTGGAAAACGGCTACAAGTCCTAAGAAGCTCTGAAACAGTTGTTGTTTTGTGCTTTTGAATTTTTATTTTTATTGCTTTTTTCTACCTAAGATGTTGCTGCAGTATAGTGTTCATGGTTTTACACTGGTCCAGACCAGAGCAGAGAGGATTCATGGTCCAAACCAACGGATCAGATGAAAATCCACTGGAGGAATGCTAACTTTTTGAAAAATGCTAATGAAGCATCTAGAGTTTACTTTGGACCAGAGCAGAGGAAATGGTCCAAACCAAGCGGCTACTCCACCTTTTGACCCGTCCTGCTCCACCCAGATGCTACTCCACCTCTGCTGCTGTGACCTGAAGGGCTGTTGCTGATTAATACTATTTATAACCTTTTAGAATGATCAATTTTATTTTTTATTTTTGCTATTACTGGACACCTGAATTTCTCCTACGGGGATCAATAAAGTATCTATCTATCAATGACCCGTTACTGAAACCGTTCATGATTTATTGTATCAAAGGCTTTGTACAAATAAAAAAACAAAGCTTTTACATTTGTGCTAAGACTCATGCACTTTAAATATTACACCAACTCAAAAACAAAAATGATGATGTACCATGCTGGTGTGTTGATGCTAATTAGCCATATGCTTCCATGTGTTTGAGTTATTATGAGGCCTGTAAAGAAAAGTTGCATCCAACAAGTCTAATTATGTCAGGCCGACAGAGATTTGTTCAAACCCAAGTAACCTTAGGAATCTGCTGATGCACTGTTGTTTGTTTTGTGTCTGCTCTGCACTTTCATGTGAAAAACTAACTAAATAAACCAGTTTTGGGATGCATCTTTTGTGGTCAGACAACAGGAGACAAATGCATTATTAAAGCAAGCGTCTGAGAATAGAGGCTAATTAGAATCTTATTTTTGGAGCATTACCGCTCAGGGATCAACCTTGTTCTCCAACCAAAGAAGTCCACAAGCTGTTTTTATTTTGCAACTTGGGTAAACAGAAGGCAGAGGTGAGATTTGGGTTGATACTAGAGTTTCAATGAGCGATGAAGCTTTCAACCTATACATGTTGAATATTTTCTACATGTATTAGGGACGTAGTAGCCTGGTCGCACCATACCATAGTACAAACTACATTTCGTACTGAGGTCTGGAGGTGCTCCATTGAGCTCCGTGAACAGGTGGGAGGGGTTAACTCCTTTTGTAGATTGAAACGATTGGATCTGAGTTTACCGTGACGTATGTAATGAGCCCGAGTGAGTGGTTAGTATTTAGCATTTAGCCTAGCTTTAGCCATCTCCTTTGCCGCTAACGGAGCCCGTGGGGAGTAGCGCCACAATTTATTCCAGCGATTACATTTGCTAAACATTCCTATTGCTCCGGCTTGAATTTCTTGATAGAACCAGACCGGATCATTTTACTATCGCATTTTTTGCCATTACCAAACTACGACCTTCCCGTTCGACACAAACTCTTGACATCACCCACAACTAACTACAATACCTGCCTCCCGCGCTCTCTGATAGGTCGGTCGAAATTCAACCGATTGTAATCACTAACATAGGGACTAGACCCAGACGTTACATGCAGTGAAATGATGATTGAGCGGCGTGTACGGATGGCTAAGGCCAGGGTAGGGACGTAGGAACGATTTTCGCAAATTAAAATGTTATCATCCTTTTAGAAAATGTGTTCTTGTTTATACTTAGAGTAAGAAACAGCCGTGTCAGTATTTGACTCTCTGGGCTGATTGGCTGAGTGACAGTTATCCTCTTTTTCTCACATTTCCATCAAAGACACTGTAGATGATCAAAAGGCCAAAAATAAATGCATGTGAAAACTAGTGACAGCCCAATCGTCTGTTTTGTTCTAAAATGTAAAAAGATAGATTTGTTATGACAGTTGTGTGTGAATCTGCTTTTCAATAGAAAAATAAAATTCAAAGAGAGAAGATTGAGTGAATCCCCACACTATCGATCACGTAGATAGTGTGGGGATTCATTTGTATTGGATAAAGAAATCTCTCTTAGAGGTCATAGTGGAAGATTACATGTAAATAAATGTAAATCGAAACCTTAGACACAGCGGCCTGATGAAGACGAGCAGTAAACAGGTCTGTTTTAGGCGGAACACAGGGAGTAATTTAGACAGAAGGTCAACGATGCCAAATCAAAGCAAGGTCAAAGACTTTAAATATCTGGGGATATAAATCTCAATTTTGATAGCCAGACCATAAGACCCTAATAAGTAATATAAATAGTAAGTAAGTAAGTAAGTTTTTATTTATATACCGCCTTTTCACTGCAGATCTGAGTCTCAAAGCGGTTTACAATTGTTAATTATGGGCATTTGTCTCTCACTCCACACAGAGATGGGAGCGGGGTCGCCAGTACAGGAGGCGCATGCCAGAACTATTGGACATATTTTTAATGGTAGGGGAAACCGGAGTACCCGGAGGAAACCTACGCAGACACGGGGAGAACATGCAAACTCCACTCAGAAAGGCCCTGGTCCGACCGGGATTCGAACCCAGGACCTTCTTGCTGAGAGGCGAGAGTGCTATCCACTCAGCCACCGTGCCGCCCGTAAATATTGTAGGGGGATGAAAATGACCTGTGTCCCCAATATCTAAGGACAGAGAAAACAGTCTAATTTTGTCCTTGAAAACATGTATTCATTTTGCTTCCTCTCAAAATTAAAGTTTGATTGTGGTTGCACTGAGACCTCTTGGTATGTGTCTGTGTGAGGTCTTTATGAAAAATGATTTATCTCCTGGCTCTTCCCCCGATAAGATAACAGCACCTCCTCCTGAGACAAACAGGATGGGCTCGTAGTGACCATGCCTCGCTGTAGGGGGCGATCCAAACCCAGGACTCCTTCAGTGTCTGTGCTGCCCTCTGCTTAGGGCAGGTTTGGGCAACATAAATGTAACATATTTTAATATGTTCTAAGAGCCACTGAGGTCAAAGGTTATGCCTGTTTCATGGCACGACGACGGGACCTCTGAACCTGGCCCCCTCCATCTACACCTGCAGACTGCCCTGCCCGACCCGCCTGGGAGTGCTTCAGTTGTACGCGTGCAATGGATTTGTCCACTTTCTGCGGCCGCTGCGTGGCCTTAGGTTCTATAGTTTAGGTCCTGGATCATAGCCTCAGTCCTCTTTCTACAGTCCGAGTACTGGATCTATAGCCTCAGTCCTCTTTCTACAGTCCGAGTACTGGATCTATAGCCTCAGTCCTCGTTCTACAGTCCGAGTACTGGATCTATAGCCTCAGTCCTCGTTCTACAGTCCGAGTACTGGATCTATAGCCTCAGTCCTCGTTCTACAGTTCGAGTACTGGATCTATAGCCCATCCATGTGGAGCGGATTCCTCTTAAAATGTGGATCTGAGGTTTCTCACTTTTCTCCCACTGGATTTGAGTGTTTTTCCTTTGATGCAGGAGTCTGTTGGAGATTTAGTGTGCAACAAGAAGGACTGTGATGATCCAGGACACTAACATTCTACAACATGTATGACATTTATCAACATTCATGGACATTGGTCTCTCCCTATGAACCAATACATGTGTTCTATATTTTGTGCCTTAGTTGTTGATTCTCTGATCTGTGTTGGCGATTTGAATGGTTCTGTTAAGCCCTCTGAGATACTGTTGTAAAGACCGTTTTATTTTCATTAAGAAAATGCTACTTCTAAGTTAATAATGTTGTTTTGGTAGGCACCTATGCTTCATTTTGTGTGTGTTTGGGTGGGGCCAGGTAGAGTGCAGTTCCCTTTATTGACAGTAGGGGGAACTAGTGAGAATAGTGTGGAAGCTGGCCTGGCTATTGACCAGATGCATCAACGTCATCCTGTCACGTGATTGTGAATGAGCTTACGGCGGAAACTAGCATTGCTGCGAGAGCAAAACGGACTACAACTCTTAAAAACGGAGCTTCCTCTCTTAAATCGAGAAGTGGCTGCTTCAAGCAATGTTCGATTACGTTATAGGTGGAAGTAGGACATCAGGTCAGGGCTCACAAAGAGTGGTATTTGGAGAAGTTAAAGGCTATACCCGTTTCTGCAATGTTTGAATGTTTAGCACCGCCCCCCAACTCGCTCACAGGCTTCTCATTTCCCCTACGCTCTCATAACACGGAGCCACCTAGTTTTATTTGCGATCTGATACGTATGCTAACATTAGCATTAGCGCAACTTGTAAGCTATGCAACAATCACTGATGAAATGGTACTAAAGCAATGCACTGCTAACTAGAGCTGCAACTAACGATTATTTTGTTAGTTGTAAAAATAATCGATAGATTAATCAAGTAATCGCTTGGCTGTGAATTGTGTAGAAAAAAATTACTTTTTCATCACAAAAAGCTAAAGTGGCAACACTCGAGGACGTATTGATGGCGTAAACTTAAAGTAAATGTTTGTAACAGGCTCTTTGTGCTAATTCTGCTCTGATTGGATGAGACAGACAGATATTCATGAAATTATAAAAACAAATTCGGTTTTAATCAAAAATACAACATTTTCATGTCATTTTTTCTCTGTTTGAGTCCGTGTGAACCAGTAAACGATTAATCGATTACTAAAATAGTTGTCGACTATTTCAATAATCGATTAGTCGTCGATTAATCGATTAGTTGTTTCAGCCCTACTGCTAACACAATATATAAGTAAAAGAATACCATTAGTTCCGGATGTATTAATTTAAACATTAGAATATATTCTAATATTTAATTATAATTTATTATACAGCTCCTCACGGCAGCAGCACTCCATTGACGTGAATGTAATTCTTCCGATCATTTTTTCTTGATAACAGAACTCTCAAACCAATAATGACCGAAGCCCCAATGCAATCTCTGTTTGTAATTCAGGTGTGTAAAATACTGCCATTACTTTGCAAGTACAACAAGCTATCAGCGCCTGTCACTACACTGTGCAGTTTCTCTGCACACTCGTCTGTGTAGAGAAGCTAGCGGAGCTAGCGCAGCTAGCCACGCTCAATAAACAAATACATATCAATCAATCAACACCATTAAACGTCAATCGGACAATACAGTACACATATACATCCTAAACACACATGCACGGATGATTTCAGAATTTGCTGTCAACGTTTTCATGACAAAAATACTGTTTTAAAGTGACAAAAAGCGATCGCGAAAAACCCGGAAGTTACCATGAAACAGCTAGCTAGCTTAGCTGTTACCAGCCTAACACGTCCCAGGGAAACCTTTGGGAGCTAACTATTTTATTTGCAGTCATTAAATACATTTCAAATTATAAGGGCTGTCTAATATTTGTTCGAATACATATAATTTTTATTTTAGAATTATATTCAAATTTTGAAGTCGAAGCCCTGGTGTTAAGCAGCGCTGTAGAGGCTAGAGGACGCAGGCTGTTACTTCTTGTTCTGTGAGTGGAGGAGAACGAGCGGCCCGCTCAGACTCTACTCAGCACTTTTCATGGCATAAATTTCATACACAGCTGAATCAATGACCTCAAGTTTTCAATTCAATTATGTATTATGATACAACTTGTATGTAGTAAAAAGCATTTTTATGAACTACTTAGAAAAAAAATCGGGTATAGCTTCTTTAAGGATCGCCTAACTGGATGTTGACCCGTACCTTCTCCCCCCTGTCAATTTTATCGATTAAATAAAATGTCTATTTTTGCCCGAGTTCACCCTACATGATCTTAATCATTATCGTTAACAATGCATACCCTCACACTGGAGCAGATTTATATGTACATTTTGCTGGTAGCATTAGCAATAGTCCACTTTTCTGTGGCTTTTCTGTCTACAGCCAAACATGATATGTACTGACGGAGAGGAAAATAGTGAAGCACGCAATTGACTTAAAAGATAAAAATGTCAATGTTGCAGCGCACATACAGGACAGTAGTAAGAGACACGTTTGACGTGTGTCATTGTCCTCCACATTAATGGAAATAAAATAAATACAAACTTGTGATTGCTTTATCTTGTAAAAAGTGTTCGCTGCATATTAGGGAGTACTTGGACGGGTCCCAGTCCTTTTGGTTTATTGCCGCTGGCCATCGTCGTCTTCTGTCTTCATGACGAGCAGGTATCAGATAAAAAAGCTTATGTCCTTGCCTGTTAGAATAATCAACCGCACTGCAAAATGTCACAGTTTTGGCTGTAATGCGCTGAAACAGGTTGTTTTGGTCAGGTGTCCGTAGGCTCCAGTTAGACTTCTGCCGTCTGTCATGGAGAGTGGGCGTGGCCGGGACGTCACATGCAAGGGGTCAATAGGCCCAACAGTTTTTGACTGCTTTTTTGTGTGGAAAACTTCATTGTATGTGGAATTTAAACTGTTCATGTGGAAACCTGTGTCACCATTAAAACAACATATCTTTGTTATTCCGTAAGTTTGGACATTCAATCTCTTTATTTTCTCAAGAACACAAGTTAAGCTAAAGCCCAGGCTGCTTACAGTGGCAAAGACACTCTCAACAATTGCCACAACAACTGTTGTTATACAATAATAAATTGAATTGAAATGGAATTGAATAAGGACGGGACATGAAGGATCAGAGAGATGCATCCAAGAGTCGGCTGCAGACAGCAAGAGAAATGTGAAAGGAGACACCGGGTTTGACTTTTTTCTTCTCAACTGGCCTTATTTCAAATGGAGGATTCAGATGATTAGCAATTGCCGTGGTTAAGTACTGTAAGTGTTCCAGTTACTGATGTCAGACAAATACCTTCAGTGATATGTGATATTTAAAACCCCTACCACAGTTTCAGGCTGGACCCTGTTTATCTGTTCAGGTTTACACGCCTGCTATGATTTTACCCCATATGTGTTTGTGCGTCCTCTGGGGACAGGCCACAGCCTCTGAAGCCTGTCGTCATTGCATAAACAAACACTGAACACATTTGACCGGAAATGTCACATCTGTGGAAGTCTTTGCCCCTGGAGCCAAAGTCACCGTCACAGAATGGTCTCCACAAAACTGAAAACCTGGCTGAAAGAAAATCAGTGTGATTCTACATTTCACTGATGGTGGACGTGTTGTGGACTAATAGGACCAACTATCTATGTTATTCTTGGCTTTATTCTATTTGTAGGTATTTCTTAACTTCATAAAAACCTCACCAGGGACAGAGTTTGCAAATTAGCTTGTGGCTCTAAGTCCTATCTACTTGGACATCAGTTGTGTTCAATTAAAGCTTCATACAGAGACACTTTGCTGGGAGAAGTATGGGAACTTGAGCACTATCCTCTCTGGTGTGATGATGGGACCCATAAATCCAGCCTCTTTCACGTGCACCTGTGAACTGTCTCCCCCGGACTCATGTGCTGCACGACCCCTCTCTGCCTGGGAGTTGCCTCAGTCCCGCACCACAGCCTCGGCCCGTTCGAAGGCTTGAGTTCTGGATTTGCAGCCTGAGTCACGGGAGCGGATCCCTCTCTCAATATGGACGTCCCCGAAGTGTCTCACTTTTTTCCCACTGGGTTTTTGAGTTAATTCTTGTCGTTGGAGGAGGGTCTAAGGACAGTGATGATCCAGGACATTTAAAAACATTTCTGGACAGTGCTCCTTATGGACCAACGGCTTCTAAGTGTTTGTTATTATTGAATGTCCAGTGTTCGAACTGTTTGATTCTCTGATCTGTGTTGGCGAATTGACAACTTTGTTGAAGTCCCCTGAGACAACTGCTGTTGTGATTTAGGGATATACAAATTTAATTGGATAATACTCAAGTAACTTTGATTAAGGAGATAGACTCCACTTTAGTTTACTCAGATGAATGTTTTAAATGAGCTCCTGTGACACTGTATCAAAGCCTGAGCCTGAGCAGTGACAGCTTTAACCGACTGCTGCTCACCATGTGCTCATAAATCACATTTCTTCTCATAACAGTTGTGAGTGGATCCAAAATGGTCGTGGTGATAAAGAGAGCTCAGACCCAGAGTTGACAGCGGCAGGAGGAGGTGCTTCTGCACCTGGAGGCTGACACTCACCTCACCATTCAGTACCAGGGTCATGTTTTTTTCAATCAGAAATAACTAAAAGATAAAACTAAACAAACAAAAAATGTAGAATGTGTTTTTGGTGCATTATAGAATTATTATTTAGGCCACAGTCCACACACGATAGAATCATGTATTTCAAAGCTCAGACGCAGCTGCTATTGTGTGATAAATGTCATTTTAGAGCTTATAAAACATAAATGTAGCCAGCTGCAGGAGCAAGCACAGGACAAGCAAAAACAGCTATTATACTTGTTTTCTCACCTCAGAGTCCAGTTTATTTTGTGTCCAAACACAATACGCTTCAAATCCATAGACTGTATACAGTACCTTGCGAAAGTATCCGGCCCCCTTGAACCTTTCAACATTTCGCCACATTTCTGGCTTCAAACATAAAGATATATAAAATTATTTTTTTGTCAAGAATCAACAAGTGGGACACAGTCGTGAAGTAGAACAAAATTTATTGGATAATTTAAACTTTTTTAACAAATAAAAAACTGAAAAGTGGGGCGTGCAATATTATTCGGCCCCTCTTGCGCTAATACTTTGTAGCGCCACCTTTTGCTGCAATTACAGCTGCAAGTTGCTTGGGGTATGTTTCTATCAGTTTTGCACATTGAGAGACTGGATTTCTTGCCCATTCTTCCTTGCAAAACAGCTCGAGCTCAGTGAGGTTGGATGGAGAGCGTTTGTGAACAGCAGTCTTCAGCTCTTTCCACAGATTCTCGATTGGATTCAGGTCTGGACTTTGACTTGGCCATTCTAACACCTGGATACGTCTATTTGTGAACCATTCCATTGTAGATTTGGCTTCATGTTTTGGATCATTGTCCTGTTGGAAGATAAATCTCCGTCCCAGTCTTGAGACTGGGTTTCTTCCAGAATGGTCCTGTATTTGGCTCCATCCATCTTCCCATCAATTTTAGCCATCTTCCCTGTCCCTGCTGAAGAAAAGCAGGCCCAAAGCATGATGCTGCCACCACCATGTTTGACAGTGGGGATGGTGTGTTCAGGGTGATGAGCTGTGTTGCTTTTACGCCAAACATATCGTTTTGCATTGTGGCCAAAAAGTTCGATTTTGGTTTCATCTGACCAGAGCACCTTCTTCCACATGTTTGGTGTGTCTCCCAGGTGGCTTGTTTAAACGAGACTTTTTATGGATATCTTTGAGAAATGGCTTTCTTCTTGCCACTCTTCCTTAAAGGCCAGATTTGTGCAGTGCATGACTGATTGTTGTCCTATGGACAGACTCTCCCACCTCAGCTGTAGTTATCTGCAGTTCATCCAGAGTGATCATGGGCCTCTTGGCTGCATCTCTGATCAGTCTTCTCCTTGTTTGAGATGAAAGTTTGGAGGGATGGCTGGGTCTTGATAGATTTGCAGTGGTCTGATACTCCTTCCATTTCAATATAATTGCTTGCACAGTGCTCCTTGAGATGTTTAAAGCTTGGGAAATCTTTTTGTATCCAAATCCGGCTTTAAGCTTCTCCACAACAGTATCTCGGACCTGCCTGGTGTGTTCCTTTGTCTTCATGGTTCTCTCTGCGCTTTAAACAGAACCCTGAGACTATCAAAGAGCAGGTGCATTTATACGGAGACTTGATTACACACAGGTGCATTCTATTTATCATCATCAGTCATTTAGGACAACATTGGATCATTCAAAGATCCTCACTGAACTTCTGGAGTGAGTTTGCTGCACTGAAAGTAAAGGGGCCGAATAATATTGCACGCCCCTCTTTTCAGTTTTTTATTTGTTAAAAAAGTTTATATTATCCAAAAAATTTTGTTCCACTTCACGATTGTGTCCCACTTGTTGTTGATTCATGACAAAAAATTCAAATTGTATATCTTTATGTTTGAAGACTGAAATGTGGCGAAATGTTGAAAGGTTCAAGGGGGCCGAATACTTTCGCAAGGCACTGTATATATTAACGGACGTAGTCACGCCTATCTCCGCCGTTCTAACTAAAGCCTGGTTCACACGGCAGGATAATTAGGCCGATTTTGGACCCGATTTACCGCTACGACAATCGTAAGAACGCTCCGAATATCGTAACAAAAAATCTGATGTATTTTCCTGCCGTGTGTGGTGTGTTAAGACTGTGCTCGTCGCTCGGAAGGACTTCAGGACTGCTCCGAACTCAATATCGGGGATATCCACCATGTTGGATTGTTTTGGCCCGATTTCTCCTCGTGTGTGGTGTCCCCCAAGGACAGACGAGCGCGTTGCCATGACAGCGGCGTGTAGCCAATCAGAAGACGAGACTAGGCGGTGAGGAAACGCCTCCATATCACGATGTAGAAGTATAGTCCATGCTCGTGTTGTCTACACTTCTTTGACCATCGCCTTTTTTTGTGATTACGTCTTTTCTCTGCTAAAAACAAACTATCGCCACTGCATCCTCTTCGTCCGCCATAATTCTTTACTCTGAAGTCACGCTTGATCTCGCGAGATTTTGTGAGATTTTCATTTGACCTGGGAATGCTCGGGGGGAAATCAGTTCGTGTGTGATGTGTGTGGTTTGCGTGATTTTGCCGTGTGGCTGCGCACCACACACTGTACGACCAAAGTGGTTAGACCCGTGATTTTTTATCTCCGTGTGTCGGGTCTCACACAGAGAAAAAATCGGCCGACAATTTTAAAATCGTCTCGTGTGAACCAGGCTTAATGGGCCAAAAATTGGGCTCTCATGGAGTGATTCAAAATGGCCGCGAGTGACTTCACAAAAATTCACAGTGAGTAAACTAGACTGGTCCAAAAAAATCCACCCCCCTCAGCATTGACACACATGTGGAACGGAGCTTTGGGCCAAGAGCCAACTTTTGGACCATCCTGTAAAGACGTTTTTGAGAGGTAGGAAGATGCTATATGTTAGCATTGGCTAATTCTCATTCCGGGTCCACCACCATCGGCCCGGGGTGGTATTGCAAGCATGTCAGCGCACGTCATTTTGGCCACTTTTGAGCCGGGACCCGCTCCCACTGGTCAAATCCAGTCCATTGAAATCATGTTATTACCACAATAATCCAGCAAGGAACGATACAAAATAGGGAAAAAGATCCGCTCTCAAGGACTGACGGGCTCTAGATCCAGGAAATGGCTATTTTAGATTATTTTAAAAACATGTTTTCAGTGGGAAACCGGAGGAATGTTCTTTTTGAGCTGAGTTTGAAGGAGCTCCTCCAAATGGGACGCTTTGATCTCAGCATCTAAAGCGAAGAGTTTTTCAAAAACTATACAGCCTTTTGTCATCGCTCATTGGTCATTTTGTTCCACATTCTGAACATTTTGAAGGACTTTGAGTCAGCTCTAATCCTCATGGAGTTTGTCTGAGTCAGCTCTAAGTGAGGTCCGCACTGTGTTAGTCCACTCTTTCTAGTCTCAGATCTGGATGTGAAGCGTGTCAGGCACAAGGACCAGGACAAGTGCTGGTCACAGCATGTTGGAATGGACTTAAGCACTTTAAACAGGGCGTCTGTAGACATGCACGCCCACCCACACACACACACACACACACACACACACACATTCTTGTATCCATAATGAATGTGTAGTTCTGTAGCCTCTGATTACAGACTCCTCTGAGTGAAGTAGATCATTATGAACTTCCTCCAGTTCTGATCAGAGCCGTGCCACAAGATCCAGAGGTAGAGGCCAATTCAATTCAATTGAGTTCAATTCAATGTATTCTTCAGAGTCTACAGACTGGACTCACTTGAGGAAAATAAGTGGAGTCTGCTCTGCTCCCTCTGGGTCTGATAGAAAACCTGCAGCCATAGCTGCCCTTTCTGGACCGGCTTGGAGACTGGTATCTCATGTGATGCTGCAGACTCTGAAGGGTTCACGGCTCAGGACAGAGTGTTTATGTCAGACCGAATGGGCACATTCCTCTGCAGGTCACACTACTTTAATGTTTATAACCCTGAGAGAGTAAACTGTGAAGGGATCAATATTTATCTTCTCATTCTGAAAGAGAAAGTCCCAGACAGAGGATGCAGAAAGAGAGAGAGTCCCAGAGGATGAAGAAAGAGAGAGAGTCCCAGAGGATGAAGAAAGAGAGAGAGAGTCCCAGAGGATGAAGAACGAGAGAGAGTCCCAGAGGATGAAGAACGAGAGAGAGTCCCAGAGGATGAAGAACGAGAGAGAGTCCCAGAGGATGAAGAACGAGAGAGTCCCAGAGGATGAAGAACGAGAGAGAGTCCCAGAGGATGAAGAACAAGAGAGTCCCAGAGGATGAAGAACGAGAGAGAGTCCCAGAGGATGAAGAACGAGAGAGAGTCCCAAAGGATGAAGAACGAGAGAGAGTCCCAAAGGATGAAGAACGAGAGAGAGTCCCAGAGGATGCAGAACGAGAGAGAGTCCCAGAGGATGAAGAACGAGAGAGAGTCCCAAAGGATGAAGAACGAGAGAGAGTCCCAAAGGATGAAGAACGAGAGAGAGTCCCAGAGGATGCAGAACGAGAGAGAATCCCAGAGGATGCAGAACGAGAGAGAATCCCAGAGGATGAAGAACGAGAGAGAGTCCCAGAGGATGAAGAACGAGAGAGAGTCCCAGAGGATGAAGAACCAGAGAGAGTCCCAGAGGATGAAGAACCAGAGAGAGTCCCAGAGAATGAAGAACGAGAGAGAGTCCCAGAGGTTACAGAACGAGAGAGAGTCCCAGAGGATACAGAACGAGAGAGAGTCCCAGAGGATGAAGAAAGAGGACGTCACTGTCGCAGGGAGCAGCTCATTCATCTGTGTCTTTTATGGAGTTACAACAATACATGATCAGATCAGAGTTTGAAAACTGAATGTTTACTGCTGGTGTTTGATTCATACAAATTGAAAAATGTAATGGTTTATGACAGGCACGCAAAACTGAGGCCTGAGGGCCAAATCCGACCCATGAGACCATTCTAGTGGCCCCTGAAAGGATTTTCAATCCTCATTATCAGAGTAACTTTGATTTTACTGGGATACTACACTTTTCTCAGAAAAACAACCGGGTCATTTCATCTCTTCTAAAATGTTAATTAAAATGTAATATTTGTTGTTTCCAGTGACGTGAGGCAGGTGAGGGCCTCTACGATCATCGAGAGAATAAATAATCAAACAAAAACAATAATACTTTGTCACTGTATCAAGTCATTTGTGCTATTGTATTAATTCAATGTAACTTTGCTTTATTTAATTTATTTTTACCTCTAAATTGCAGATTTTTGTCATATTCTTGTCATATTTGACAAAGCGCTCTGAGGCGAGCCTCTCTTGGGAGACGTAAAAGCCACAGCTCACTGTGGAAGGAGCCTGTGCGCTGCTATCAAACTGTTTTCTCTGTTTATCATTTACAATAAACAAGTCTACAGCTGAGAGGATGGGTCATAAACTGTGTTTTTGGAACAAATATGGGTCTAAATCGCTAAGCACTGATCGCACACCACAGCTTGTAATGTCACTCAGTGAGGCCAGGACTACATACACATGTAGATACTGCACTAATGTACATACTAATAGATAGATATATAGATACTTTATTTATCCCACATAGGAGAAATTAATGTGTCCAGCAGCAGGAGACTCATCCAGGTTTGTTGTACAGTCTGACAGCCGAAGGAACAAAGGATCTCTTGAAACGTTCCGTTCGACAGCGCTGTTATAGGAGCCTGTTGCTTCGATTACTCCTCTGAGCGGCCATAGTGTCATGCAGAGTGTGTCTGGAGTTACCCAGGATGCACTGCATTAGAGCCCTCATCCTTCTCTCCAGCACAGCTCCCACAAAGGCCACACTTCTCCCCATCACAGAGACACATTTCCTGATCAGCCTGACGAGCCGGTTACTGTCTCTGGAGGTCAGACTGCCGCCTCAACACGTGACCCCAAAGAACACGGCACTAGCTTCAACAGACTGGTAAAATATTTACAACATTTGACTGCTCACATTAAAGGACCTCAGTCTACTTAGAAAGAAAAGTCTGCTCTGACCTTCCTTGTAGATGACATTGGCCTGAGCTGACCAGTCCAGTCTGAGGTCCAGGTGGACTCCCAGATATTTATAGTGAACCACTTCGATGCCCTGTCCATTTACTGTGACCGGTCGATGGGAAGGGCTCCTGTGGAAGTTGATGATCATCTCCTTGGTCTTGGACGCATTGAGAATCAGTCCATTTCTCTCACTTCAGTCTGAGAAGGCAGCCCCCTCCTCCCTGTTCTCTGCTTCATCCCCCCTTCACACATGCCACAACAGGGGTATTGTCCGAGTATTTTTGTACATGGCATGTAGGAGAGCTGTGTGCAAAGTCTGCAGTGTAAATTGTGAAGAGGAAGGGAGCTAGAACGGTACCCTGTGGTGCTCCAGTATTGCTCACAACAGTCCCAGACACGCTCTTCCCTAACCTGACATACTGTACCCTCACAGTGAGGTCATTGTAAATCCAGTTGGTAAAGATGGGATCAACTCCCATCTTCTCCAGTTTCTCCCTCAATAAGAGAGGTTGGATGGTGTTAAATGCACTGAGGTCAAAGAATATCAGCCTCACATAACCTCCAGGGCCATCCAGGAAGGATCTACACACCCGTACACACACATGTACATACATACTAATGTACATAGATAGATAGATAGATATTTTATTGATCCCCGTAGGAGAAATTCAGGTGTCCAGTAGCAGCAAAAAGGAAAAATAAAATTGATCATTCTAAAACGTTAAAAATAGTAATGATCAGAAACAGCCCTTCAGGTCACAGCAGCAGAGGTGGACTAACAGCTGGGTGGAGGAGGACGGGTCACAAGGTGGAGTAGCTGCTTGGTTCTGACCATTTTCTCTGCTCTAGTCCAAAGTAAAATGCTAAATGCTTCATTATAATTTTTCCTCCAGTGGATTTTCACTTGATCCGTTGGTTTGGACCATGAATCCTCTCTGCTCTGGTCTGGACCAGTGTAAAACCATGAACAATGTACTGCAGCATCATCTCAGGTAGGAAAAAAGCTATACAAATAAAAATTCAAAAGCACAAAACAACAACTGTTTCAGAGCTACTTAGGACTTGTAGCCGTTTTCCAACGCATTCAAAAGTAAAAGTAAAAGTAAACATAAACATGTAAATACACATGTACATACTAATGTACATACTGTACTAATGTACATAGACATGTACAATAGTAGTACATGTGTATGTATGTGTTTGTGTGTGTGTGTGTGTGTGTGTGTGAGTGACCTGCAGTCTCTCCATGTCCCTGAAGGCTCCTGGGGGCAGTTCTTGAAGTTCGTTGCTGTGCAGCATGAGCAGCTCCACACTCTTCAGCCCCAACAGAGAGCTGTTGTGTAGACGCTGGATACTGTTGAACCTATGACACATACACACACACACACACACACACAAACCACACACATCACAGTCCAACAGACAGCAACATTAATATCAACCTACTCTATTTTCTAGTAGTGTATCATTAGACACTTTTGTTTATTTACAGCAACATGTGTGTGTATGCATGTGCGCGTGTGTGCGTTAGCTTGTGCGTGTGCATACCCCAGATTGATGCGGCGGGTCAGTGCAGGCAGCCCGGGGGGGACTCGCCGCAGGGACCTGAAGGTGCAGTGGACCTCTGAGCTCTGGTAACAGTTACAGGAGCGAGGACAGGACCAGACCAGGTCTGTGGAGAGGCCACACACCAGCAGCACACACAGCCACACACCCCACATCTCCCACAGCAGGCGACCCGAGGCAGACGACCTGAGGCAGAGGACAGAGGACCTGAGGCAGAGGACAGAGGACCTGAGGCAGACGACCTGAGGCAGAGGACAGACGACCCGAGGCAGAGAGACTACAGTGCTGAAGCAGATACTTTAAAGCTGGGCTCCCTAACTTTCAAACCACACGATGAAAGTATGCCATAAATGAAATATGGCATAAAATCAAAGTTCCTTCCCTGACTCTAAAGCCCCGTTTGGACGGAGACGCTGCGGAGATGCTGCAAAGAAATTAGCATTAACGACCAGGCTCTGTATTCAAAGGGCTAAGCGTCTACAAGGTGAGGGAAAAAGATGTAGTTCTAGCGCCCGGCAAGTAGGGGGCAGTGGAACATTCACCCCCAGCAGTAGAATCATTTCATCTACAACATCCTCCTCAGGCCGCCGCAAAGACGCAAAAGAACCAAAGTCATCAACATCATAAATAACAATAACAGTGGGTAGCATTAGCCGACCTGCTGCCATCGTTGTTTACATTTGTTCTTGGCAAAAATTCACACATTTTTCTTCAAGCGGCTGTGAAACTGCCCCCGCTGAGCAGAGTATCTGTTCTGTTTCACTCTGGAGGCTGTTTCTGAAAGCTTGCGTTTTCACCTGAAACAGCGTCTCTGTGTGAACGAAAGGCCAAACTGATACACGACTCTATCGTTCTACTGTCGCAGCGTCTCCGTGTAAATTACTTACTGTACCTCCGTGTACATTACTTACATGTGCCTCCCCACTAAAAAGATTGAGATGCATGTAATGTTCATCAAAGGTTTACCTCGACTTTAAGAGACAAAATGAGAAAAAAAATCTAGAAAATCACAAGTATCACTAAAGAAGAAAGTATAAAATCTCAAGAACAGTAAAAACCACAAAATGTCAGTCAAGTTAAATATGGAGCCCCCTGCTGGAGAACTATGGAAACAGAACTAACCTCTCCTCTTCCTACTTTATTTGTCATCATTATGACTTCAGCTGTAGTCTGTTCATTGCTATTCACCCGCTGGGTGATTAGCACGATGACAAAAGTCCTCAGAGACGACTGCTGTTGTGATTTAGGGCTTTACACAAATACATTGATTTGAATCCCTTGTTAAAGTGTGTAGATGGTGCATGTGATTCTTCTTTTCTCATAGAAGAATAGGACAGACATGTGACCTTTGGAACACTGTGACCCACTGTCAAAGGAAGAGACTGCTGTGTGTGGGTCACTACCTTCTGAGTCCTTCACTTCCACACTCGATCTTTGCTCCTCGTGCCCTGGTCTCTGTGCCTTCATTTCACGAGTTCAAAAGTTTTGAAATAAAAGGCAGTGACGATGACTTTAATCGTAATAATATTGTTTTTGTTGCTGTAGTGATGATAATGGTCGAGTGTAAGTATTTACATACGCACAGATCTAGAAGTCATTCATGTTCTATATAAAATAATTTCTCTTTTTCAAAATCGAAGCACACTTCAGACCCACATGAGGTTTTGAATGCACCTCAAACACCTCAGCATGCATTTCCATTCATTCAATTCTCAGCTCTTACATTATGTTTATGTGATTTTGATTCCATAGAGCAGAGTTGTCAAACTCATTTTGGTCGGAGCCAAAAGAATAGAAGGAATTTTATTTCATATATGCGCCTTCAGTGCACATGTGCAGACGCTTCAAAGCCACACTGAGATTGAAACATGTGTTGACGCACATGTCTTTGCAGTCGACCACTCAATCACCATCGACATGTACAGTAGTACATGTACCATCGACTTATTGAGCCCTAAAGTATAATCCTATAAACTCCAGAGCAAAGAACTGTATACGATATGTAACGCTGTGATACATTCTGTGAAAGAATATCAAAGTAATGAGTAATTAGCTGAGGCTTCAAATTCACACTGATCATACTACTGTACATGTTAGCATGTGATACTACTGTACCTGTTAGCATACTACTGTACATGTTAGCATACTACTTTACATGTTAGCATGTGATACTATTGTACATGTTAGCATGTGATGCTACTGTACATGTTAGCATGTGATACTACTGTACATGTACATGTTAGCATATGCACATTCTGATATTATTGCACATTCTGATATTATTGCACATTCTGATATTATTGCATATTCTGATATTATTGCATATTCTGATATTATTGCACATTCTGATATTATTGCACATTCTGATATTATTGCACATTCTGATATTATTGCACAGATGGACAGAGGACCACCCTCACTCAGCTCTCAGCCCAAAGTGTCAAATAGCGACTCACAGACTCTTAAAGACTCCTTCTGTTGAGACAAACAACATTGATTTCAGGGAGATTGAAATCATATGTTGCGTCTCGCTCCTGTATAAACGTGATAAAGGCCGTGATCGAACCCCCTCCACCTGCGTCTGTCTCCACTTACAGCCCGAGCCTCAGGTCCGACACACTCCTGGGGAAGTCCTGCCTCATAAATCACACTTCATGCATTCGAAGCCAAAGTATCCGCTCAAACATGTCCAAAAGCGAAAGTTCAGACCACTCAATTCTTAACTTAAAACACGTGCCAAATGTACGCACAGCCCAAAGCAGCAGATGAGTGACGTGCCACATAATCCAGTGTGAGCAGAAGGTGATCTGAAAATCCAAAAATACGTGGATTACCTTTACGCACTCTTCCAGCGGCTGATCTATCTCACTGCAGCGCGCATCCTGCACGTAACGAACTCAGATAGTAATCCACAGAGACATCCAGCGTCAGAAAGTGAAAATATCCCATGAGTTTGAATGAAAACGCGAATCAAAGGAACGAAAAGCGAAGGGGGAAAAGTGAAAAAAAGTGATTTAAAAAAGTAGTTTTTAGTCCAAACTGGAGCGTGGAAAAGTCCAACAGGTCGCGCAGTCCTGGAGTGAGGGAAGAGGACGCGTGGAGAAAGAGGCAACGCTTTTTACGCACGAGTCTGGAGCAAACAGCCGCGTCCCACAAACGCAGGTCTGTCCCAAAGCTGCGCAGGGGAGACGCGGGGGAGACGCGGGGGAGACTGGGGGAGACTGGGGAGCGAGTGTAGTGCGGTATTGACCAGTTTGATGTCAGATATATACAGCGCGTAAAGAGAGGTGGGAAGGAGTGTGACGCAACTGTTTAAAATTAAGATGAAGAGATCCTTGAGTCCCACAGTGGGGAAAGTTCAGTGTTGCATCACCAGTTACAGAACAGCAGGAAAAAAGGAGAACAATTTAAGTGAACAATAACACTATACTAAACTTCAACTTTAGCATAATAAAGAAAATCTATAATTTTAATGTTTCTGCTTCCAGGTGGATCATCAAGGCTTTTGGTTCTTCCAGTTGTCAATCATTCTGTATACGTGCTCGTCAAATAAGACCAGAGAGTTTTGTTCTAAAAAGAGGAGAGGGCGGTTCGTTTCTATAATTTAAGCATAATAAAGAAGCAACAATGGGAGTTCCTTTTCATGTGACACTACTGTATTTGTTAGCATTTTATATTTAGCATTTGTGACTGTTGGATAAATGTAGTGTGGCCCAGAATATGTCGCCGCGTTGAACACATTTCTGACTAGTTACAGACTAACTTTTAAAGCTGGGGTCTCTGATTTTGTTTCATAAAAGATATCCACGTCCATCCATCCATCCATTTTCTTCCCCTTAATCCATTTCTGGGTCGGGGGGGGTGGCAGTCAGAGCTGTACCCAGTACACAGAGCACCAGCCCCTCACTGATCCTCCTGCAGGTGGTGAGTCCACAGGATCTTTTCAGTTGGGGCTTTGGGCAAAGTAGGGTTAAGTGTCTTGCCCAAGGACACAACGACCGCAGTCATCAGTGGGAGTCGTGAAGTAGGTCTTACGGTGGGCTCGAACCCACGACCTTCAGGCCCAAAGGCCAATGCTCTACCAACTGAGCTACTGTCGCCCACATCGTTTGTCCAAATGTTCAAACAAATCTTTATTTTATCAGAAAACACTTTCTGACTCTTTGAGCTGAGAGCTGATTGGCTGAGTGAGGGTGGTCCTCTCTTTTTACACTTTTCTGACTCAAAAAGTTGATTCAAAGTCTCTCTGGTCTCTCTCTCTTATCTCTCATGGTCTTCTCTGGTCTTCTCTCTCTCTGGTATCTCTCTGGTCTCTCTCTGGTCTCTCTTTCTGGTCTCTCTCTGGTCTCTCTCTGGTATCTCTCTGGTCTCTCTCTGGTCTCTCTCTCTGGCCTTCTCTGGTCTCTCTCTCATGGCCTTCTCTGGTCTCTCTCTCATGGCCTTCTCTGGTCTCTCTCTCTGGTCTTCTCTGGTCTCTCTCTCTGGTCTTCTCTGGTCTCTCTCTCTGGTCTCACGCTTCACACTTTCTGACTCTTTGAGCTGTGAGCTGATTGGCTGAGTGAGGGTGGTCCTCTCTTTTTTACACTTTTCTGACTGAAAAAGTTGATTTAAATGTTCAGAGGCTAAACATACATAGTACATAGAAGCAAACCAAAACCGTTTTAGAGCCCGGAACAAGAGACATAGATTTCATCATGAGTTCCATTTTTGTGGTCGAAAGTCGGGAACCCCAATATCATCCAATTAGGAAAGTCAGGTTTTTCACAATTACTAAAAGTTGCTTGAAATTAGAAAAAATTTGTTGAAATGGTCAAAAACAAACCTTCTGCTGCAGGTTCATGGAGGAGGCTGAGGCTGCTTTGTTACAGGTCACATCTGTGGAGAGGAGAGCTAATGGTTAAAGCACTTTGCAGATTGTGAAGTGCTTGTGTGACGTTGGTTTGTGAAATGCCCTGGATAAAAAAAGATTATTTTCTTAAATATCTTTCCCAAGTTTCAGAAAATCCACATATTAAGACTTTGAAGTTCTATGGCTCTGTGGGGACTGCCTACAGAAAGGTTTTCAGCCCAAACTGATCAAAACAACAATAGTTTGACTTCTCATTCTCAGATTAGTAAAACTGTAGCTCCACCAAAGTAATCACTCGAATTAGCCCCTAATCCAACGTTTAATTCAGATGTTAGTAATCTGTTATGGAGGGGACAAAAATATAACCATTGTCATTTCTGTATATGCAGCGCCACACCATAAATATTTGTTGAAAAAATAAAGTAATAAAAAAATTTTAGTAACCTTTTTATTTTACTTTATTTAATTTTTTGTGGTCTTATTTTTATTATTTATCGTAGTACTTTTTAGCGTCACATTTCAAGTTTTTTCTTCTTATTGTATTGTTTTAGTATCCCCAGTGTTTCCTCTGGGGGAGCCCTGTGCACTGGGAGCTGTGGTCTGGGGCCTCCTCTCCTCTCTGGGTCATGTGGGGGTCTGGCTCTTGGACCTGATGGAGGTGTGGGAACCCCTCTCTCCTCTGGGTTCAGTGTCGTCCCCTGTGGCTGTAGGCGGCTCTCTGCTCCTGGTGCAGACGGCTCCTTAGATGACGCCTCTTCAGCATCATTGGTGCTTAGAATGGCAATACAGCAATTCTGAAATCAATTCTTTTGATATGGGGAGTTCTGCTGTCTCACCTCTTCAAAAAGCGTGTGCGTGTGTGTGTCTGTCTGTCTGTGTGCGTGTGTGTGTCTGTATGTTTGTGTGTGTCTGTCTGTGTGAGTGTGTGTGTCTGTCTGTATGTCTGTCTGTCTGTGTGCGTGTGTGTGTGTCTGTCTGTCTGTCTGTGTGCGCGTGTGTATGTGTCTGTATGTTTGTGTGTGTCTGTCTGTATGTGTGCGTGTGTGTGTGTCTGTCTGTGTGTCTGTCTGTCTGTGTGTCAGTCTGGTTGTGTGTGTCTGTCTGTCTGTCTGTGTGTCTGTCTGTTTGTGTGTGTCTGTCTGTATGTCTGTCTGTGTGTCTGTCAGTTTGTGTGTGTGTGTCTGTCTCTGTGTGTGTGAGTGTGTGTGTCTGTCTGTCTGTCTGTGTGTGAGTGTGTGTGTCTGTCTGTATGTCTGTGAGTCAGTCTGGTTGTGTGTGTCTGTCTGTCTGTGTGTGAGTGTGTGTGTCTGTCAGTTTATGTGTGTCTGTCTGTGTGTGAGTGTGTGTGTCTGTCAGTTTGTGTGTGTCTGTCTGTCTGTGTGTGTGTCAGTTTGTGTGTGTCTGTCTGTCTGTCTGTGTGTGAGTGTGTGTGTCTGTCTGTATGTCTGTGAGTCAGTCTGGTTGTGTGTGTGTTCGTGTCTGTCTTTGTCTCTCTTTGTATGTAAGTTTAAGGGTAAGTGTAAGTGTGCCTGTCTGTCTGCATGTGTGTCTGCCTGTCTGTGTGCGTGTGTGTGAGTCTGTCTGTGTATGTGTGTGTGCTCTCAGAACAGTCCCAGGTCTCAGATGGAGCAGGTAAAAATACTGTCAGCTGTTCTCTGCTCCTCTTTCTTCACCATTTTAAGACACAGTGTTGATCTGTTTTCACCGTCACTTCCGCTCTCTCTGGACTCACCAGATCTTGTGGACGTTGGCGCTGGTTTTAATCCTGATGGAAGCAGTTGTTTAGTCTCAAATCATCAAACAGTTTCAGTATATTTTGTCAAAACGGTCGCTTTTTCAAGGACTTCTCTGGAGTCGCTCTCTGGTGTCTCTCTCTGGTGTCTCTCTCTGGTTTCTCTCTCTGGTGTCTCTCTCTGGTGTCTCTCTGGTGTCTCTCTATCTGATCTCTTTCTCTGGTGTCTCTCTCTGGTCTCTCTCTGGTGTCTCTCTATCTGATCTCTTTCTCTGGTGTCTCTCTCTGGTCTCTCTCTGGTCTCTCTCTGGTCTCTCTCTGGTCTCTCTTTGGTGTCTCTCTCTAGTCTCTCTCTGGTCTCTCTCTCTGGTCTCTCTCTGGTCTCTCTCTGGTCTCTCTCTGGTCTCTCTCTAGTATCTCTCTGGTCTCTCTCTCTGGCCTTTCTCTCTAGCCTCTCTGTCTGGTCTCTCTCTCTCTCTGGTGTCTCTCTCTCTCGTCTATCTCTCTCTGGTCTCTTTCTGTACATTAACTTGTCATTTACCCATTACATGGTCCACAATTATCCAAAAAGCTTCTGGAAGACTCCATGTCACTAACGGTTTTGTTTCAGTTTTACTTCCTGTCCTGTTCCACTGTGGACTGTCTGCCCCACCAGAATGTGTTTCACCTGTGTCTCTCTGTGTCTACATTGCCATGCGAAAGTATTCGCCCCCTTGAACCTTTCAACATTTCGCCACATTTCTGGCTTCAAACATAAAGATATAAAAATTTAATTTTTTGTCAAGAATCAACAACAAGTGGGACACAATCGTGAAGTGGAACGAAATTTATTGGATAATTTAAACTTTTTTAACAAATAAAAAACTGAAAAGTGGGCCGTGCAATATTATTCGGCCCCCTTGCGCTAATACTTTGTAGCGCCACTTTTTGCTGCAATTTCAGCTGCAAGTCGCTTGGGGTATGTCTCTATCAGTTTTGTACATCGAGAGACTGAATTCTTGCCCATTCTTCCTTGCAAAACAGCTCGAGCTCAGTGAGGTTGGATGGAGAGCATTTGTGAACAGCAGTCTTCAGCTCTTTCCACAGATTCTCGATTGGATTCAGGTCTGGACTTTGACTTGGCCATTCTAACACCTGGATACGTCTATTTGTGAACCATTCCATTGTAGATTTGGCTTTATGTTTTGGATCATTGTCCTGTTGGAAGATAAATCTCCGTCCCACTCTCAGGTCTTTTGCAGACTCAAACAGGTTTTCTTCCAGAATGGTCCTGTATTTGGCTCCATCCATCTTCCCATCAATTTTAGCCATCTTCCCTGTACCTGCTGAAGAAAAGCAGGCCCAAAGCATGATGCTGCCACCACCATGTTTGACAGTGGGGATGGTGTGTTCAGGGTAATGAGCTGTGTTGCTTTTACGCCGAACATATCCTTTTGCATTGTGTCCCTCTCTGTCTATATGTACCTGTGTCCCTCTGTGTCTATGCTGTATGTACCTGTGTCTCTCTGTGTCCATATGTACCTGTGTCCCTCTGTGTCTATGCTGTATGTACCTGTGTCTCTCTGTGTCCATATGTACCTGTGTCCCTCTGTGTCTATGCTGTATGTACCTGTGTCTCTCTGTGTCCATATGTACCTGTGTCCCTCTGTGTCTATGCTGTATGTACCTGTGTCTCTCTGTGTCCATATGTACCTGTGTCTCTCTGTGTCCATATGTACCTGTGTCCCTCTGTGTCTATGCTGTATGTACCTGTGTCTCTCTGTGTCCATATGTACCTGTGTCCCTCCGTGTCTATGATGTATGTACCTGTGTCTCTCTGTGTCCATATGTACCTGTGTCCCTCTGTGTCTATGCTGTATGTACCTGTGTCTATATGTACCTGTGTCTATAGGAGGATCTTGGAGTGACGTCGTTGTTTATAGTTTTTCCGCTCCGGTCATGTGAACGTGCAGTGGCACTATAGCATAGAAAGCTACCTGGATGCTACAGAGTTAGCTAGTTTTAGACGTTTGTAGAGAGGTTTTACTAAATCAAATGGTCCGTTCTTGTTGTGTAGTTGGTTGTACGGCCCGCTGGGGACAGATTACGTTTTTTTTCTAATTATTTCGGAAGAGAACAGCGAAAAACGGCCGCGGTTGCCCTTTAATGCTGTTACCTACTGTAAACGTAGAACGGGAAGCCGGGGGGATGAGGAGATAAAAATTCATTAACAAATTTAAGTTTTGCAACTACTTTCACTGCGCACTTGTTCATTCATTCATTCATGATGAATGAATGAATGAATGAATGAATGAATGAATGAATGAATGAATGAATGAATGATTCATTTTAAACATTGCATTTTGGTTGCTCATCCCCGCGGCTTCCTTTTCCACCTTTATCGTAAGTAACAGCAGACTTCCTGTCTCCTGTCACAGCTTGACCTTTGACCTCCCGCTGGGTTAGGGTCAAGTCAGCGGCGCTAGTTCAGGATCCCTGAATTCATAAAACACTTCTTCTCCAGGAAAGAAATACGAGTTGACAACTGCTTGAATTTGGCAAAATGGAATTTGATGAGTCTAAAAGTAAAGTTCACCAGTGGAACAAGCAGCTGTCGTCATGAAAGTCCATTTCTGCACTGGAAATAATCCCTTGAAAAAAATAAGAAAAATACATGAAAAAAAGTAAAATACTGCTTAAAATAATAAAAATGATCTGTCAAGAGATCAAGAATATATGACTTGACAAGATTCCTGAAAATAACAAAATAATACTAGCCCCAAATACACATTTCAAGTATTATTTATTTATTTCTTTAACATTTTTGAGAAAGAAAAAGGGGGCGACAGTAGCTCAGTTGGTAGAGCATTGGCCTTAAGGCCAGAAGGTCGTGGGTTCAATTCCCACCTCTGCACCTTCTCCACCGACTCCCACTGATGACTGCTGTCGTTGTGTCCTTGGGCAAGACACTTAACCCCACTTTGCCCAAAGCCCCCACTGAAAGATCAAGGCTATGCTCTCACTCAGAGAGCAGCCGTCCTCCTGTGGACTCACCACCTGCAGAGGGTCAGTGAGGGGCTGGTGCTATGAGACTTGGGTGGCAGCTCTGATTGCCACCCCCCTGACCCAGAAATGGATTAAAGGGAAGAAAATGGATGGATGGATTTTTGAGAAATATTTTCATAAAATGCTGCATAATAAATGTATAAAGAAAAGTTGTCTGGAAATAAGAAAAAATACTTAAAAAGCCTAAAAACTCACTTCCCAGACTTTTTTTTAT